CACGTGACCGAGCCTGACCTCGTGTTCGCTAAAGCCCAAAGGGAGCTCCTTGGGCTCGTGTGACCGAAGAGCCCCCGAGGGGAGAAGTAGCTCGCAGGCCTTCCCAGCGACCTCATCCGGAAGCTGCTTCCCTCGTGTCCTCTCTGCATTGCACTCCCTGGGTTTTTCCCACTCCTTCGTACCTCTGCTCCTTAGCCACCGGCAACGTTGTCGTAGAAAAAGGCCAGTCTCCCCAGCACTCACATCACTTTCTTTTTCTCCCCCCTTTATTTTTATTGTTTTCACTGTTGTATTTGTCCCCGTTTTCCCCCTTTGTCCACCGCCACCCATCTCTGCCCCCTTCCCTGCGGTCATCACCGCTCTGCCGTCTGAGGGTCCGGCATCTGTGTTCCTGGGCCCCTGCCTCCACCTTCTCTCCCCCAGTGCCTGCCCGCCCCCCCACTCCCCTCTGGCAGCCGTCAGTGTGTTCCCTGAGTCCACGCCTCTGTTTCTGTTTTGTCAGTTTATTCTGTCCGTGAAATTCCACCTTCGGGTGAGATCACGGTTCTCTCTCCCTGACTGGCTAATCTCACTTAGCATGATGCTCCCCAGGTCCGCTCCTGCTGTCGCAAGGGTAGGAGCTCCTCCTCCTCGCGGCCACGTGTGTGATTCCGCTGGGTGAATGAATGAATGAATGTGCCAGGGCTTTTGACCCACTCCTCACCTACTCATGGCGCTGGGGCTGTTTCCAGGTCTTGGCTCTTGTGCATGCTGCAGTGAACACAGGGGTGCATGTATTCTTTCAAATGGATGGTTCTGGGTTCTTAGGGTGTGTGCCCAGAAGTGGGATCTCGCTGGTCATAAGGCAGTTTCATTTCTAGTTTTTTGAGGAGATTCCTTACTGTTTTCCACAGTGGCTGCACCAGTCTGCATTCCCACCAGCAGTGCACGAGGGGTCCCTTTTCTCCACGTCCTCGCCAGCACTTGTTTGTAGATTTATCGATGGCAGCCATCCTGGCGGGTGGCATCTCACTGTGGTTTTAGTTTGCAGCTCTCTGATGGCTAGTGACGCTGAGCATTTTCTCGCATGTCTGTTGGCCATCTGTCTGTCCCCTTGGCAGAAGTGTCTGTTCGGGTCCTTTGCCCATTTTTTTAATTGGATTGTTTGTCTTCCTGGTGTTGAGTTGCATGAGTTCTTCCTGAATTTTGGAAATTGCATCCCTTTCTGGGAGAGAGTTCTGATGATCCCTGTAGGGGTTATCTGCTCACCAACTGCTTGGAGTCGAGACAGAAAGTTTCCAGAAGAAGGATGGGGGCGGACGAGACCACAGATGTTTACACAAGAGGTCAAAAAGCACGAATATTTTTGTGCTGCTCTCTCTTCTCCCAAAACGAAGCGTGTGCTCAGGATGGCAGGTCATGCACGTACCAGGCAGGTGTGTGGTGGCTCCCGTAGTGTCCCGGGTGTTGGCCGGGAGGTTCTGAGCCTCCCGAGAGTGTCTGTTCGCTGCATGTAGACGGTGGAATGTAGCGTGCAAGGGTGCCGCCTACCAGCCGCTCTCCTTGCCCGAGATAATTGTGGCTAAATTCAGTGCCTACCGATTAGGGACTATGTGGGCATTTAGCTGTTGAAAATAAGTCATTTCTTAAAGGATACCTAATATTGGAAAAGCAGTGTAGAAAAACAACTGTTTTTCAAAGACTGTGTCAAAAATAGGTAGGTTGGCGGTCGGGGTCAGGGTCGGCATTTTAGGTTTCGGATACTGTGGGGAGAGGAAGAGGCACAAGGGGAGTGACAAGGGGCGACCGTGCGGAGGCGGAGACGGGCAGGTGGGAGCCGGATGCAGGGACGGGAAAGGGAAGTAGGCGAAGGGAGACCGTGTCCAGAGCCCTTCCGAGCTGAAGGCTTCCGGTCATACTTAAGCTTTGTAAGTATAATTGCCCCTCCAGAACAAACAAACAGAACGGGAACAGACTCACTGTCACAGGGGAGCAGAGCGGTGGTTGTCGGAGGGGCGGGGGTGGGGGGAGCGGGGGGCGGGGGAGATGAGGGGACTGAGCAGCACAGGCTGGCAGTTACGGAATGGTCACAGGGATGTGAGGTCCAGCGCAGGGAGCACAGCCAGTGAGTGGTGCTGCAGTAACTACGCGCGGGTCCAGGTGGGGACTGGAAAAGTCAGGGGACCACTTTGGAAAGTGTGTGATTGTCTAACACTGTGCTGTATACCCGAAACCAGTACAAAGTAATATTGGACATAAACTGTGATGTAAAAACCGGTGTTGGTGAGGATATGGAGGGAGGGGAACCCTTTTGCACTGTTGGTGGGACTGCAGACTGGTGCAGCCACTGTGGAGAGCAGTGTGGAGATACCTCAGAAAATTAAAAATGGGTCTGACTTTCAACCCAGCGATCCCACTTCTGGGGGTATATCCACAGGAGCCCAAAACACTAATTCAAAAGAACACAAGCACCCCTACGTTCATTGCAGTGTTACTTAAAATCGCCAAGTTATGGAAGCAGCCCAAGTGTCCATCAGTAGATGAGTGGATAAAACAACTATGGGACATTTACACAATGGAATACTACTCCACCGTAATAAAGAAGAAAATTTTACCCTTTGCAACAGCACTGATGGACCTGGAGAACATTATGCTAAGTGAAATTCGCCAGTCACGGAAAGACAGATACCATATGATCTCACTCATATGTGGAATGTAATGAACAAACAAAACTAACAAGGAAAATGGGGACAGACTCACAGATGGAGAGCGAGCAGGATGACAGCGAGTGGTGGGGGTGCTGGATTGAGCACAAAGGAAAAAGGACTCATGGACACGGACAGCAGTGGGGTGATTGCTGGGGGGAGGGGGTATAAGGGCACTAATGGTAATGGAAAAAATACAATAAAGATAAATTTTTTTAATTTAAAATTCAAAAGAAAGAAAAAATAGTTCCTCCCCTAGACTGTGTAGTTATTTTTTCTGTTGACATTCAAGGATGTGCTTTTAAATCTTTCTGTTCTTCAAAATTCTCATTTCTAATGTTTGAGAAGCATCTCTGGATAAGGAAAAGTCCTAGGTCAGCACTTTAAATAAACCTACTATGTTTATAGACATTCCTCCCATGGGGGAATGTTCAGTAACATTTAAATGTGTAAGAGCTTCCGCTGTTTTGTTTTTGACAGTGTTTCACCAAATTGTAAATTTGGTAAACAAGAGGCTTTGGTGTCCGGGCGTTTGGGATTAGTTGGAGTCAGCGGGATTAAAAAAAAATGTGTTCACTGGGATTCCCGAGAAACGGTAAGAAAGCATCCGGCAGGGTCGGCCCACCAGGCCCCTGCCCCCTCCCGGGACGCCTGCAGGGACCCCCCTGCCCTCCGCCCAGGTGTTTATTTCCCGCCCGCCCTCCCTCCCTGCACAGGGGACCGAGGTTGGGAGGATGGTTTTATAAAAACACTCCCCAACAGGGGCAGGCAGAGTTCCTGCTCCTCTGGCAGCCGCTCGAGAAGACGCCTGCGTGCAGTTCTGCGTCCTTTGTAACGACCCGAGGAAAAGGGCCGCGGGCTCTGGCTCGCGGGATTCTCCGCCTGCGGCCTGCTCCTCTCACCCCCAAGCTCTGTCTAAAGGTGCGAGTGAGGGATCGGGTGTCGTTGCTGGACCGACGGACTGTGCGCCGCCGTTCGCCCCTTCTCAGCATTTTATCATGAAAACTCTCAGACGTGTTGAACAGTTTGCATCAACTTTCACTGAGCACCGTGCACCCGCCGTCCAGATTCTGTGAATAGCGTTTGCTGTGCCTGCTTTGTCTCACATTTGTCCGTCAGCCCCTCTTACTGATTTTGCCGTATTCCAGAATAAATTAGTATTGGGGTTTTCTTCCCTGTCTTCTATTAGCTGTGAGCCCTTACCCCTTGTGGTAAGTAAGGGCTGGCTGGGCCCTGGCCGGCGAGGGCCCCGCGCTGTTCCTGCCACGGGGCGGGGGCGGGGTGATGCTCGCTGCTGCGAGCGGCCCCCTCCCTCCTCTGTGACTCGCCCCGGGGAAACCTCAGTTTGCCTCTCAGGGCGAACAGTTACTTTTAAAATACACCATGTGTTCTTAGGTGTGTGTGAGCCCCAGTCTAGCAGATGGGCTTCCTTCTGTAAGATAGTCTACGAAGGACATTTATATAGCGTTTGAAGTGGCTAAAAAGGATAGATGTGATGATGTATCATAAAAGCGTATACGCAGTACGTTCTTCACAGTGGTGATGCACTTGGAGGACGCATGCGGCAGTGTGGTCCGAGGAAACCCATGTTTGTGGGTTGGTGCCTCGAGGGTCTTCTTAAGGAAGAGGCTGGGAGAGCAGCCCTGCATCGGCCAGCATGGCTTCCCTGTGGTCTGCTTACGGTGAGATTAATTGTTCGTTGCAGGAAAAAGTTTGACACTTGCAGCTGGTCAGGTCACCTGGCCGGTCAGCGCAGCCCCGTGGGCCACTGCGCAGCGGGCCGTGCTGCAGCAGAGCGTGAACACCTCCTGCGCTCGGAGCCTGCTCGCCTGCGGAGGGTGCACCGCAACAACTCGTCCCAGTGGCTGTAGATAAGGCAGAGGGAGGGTTCCGGCGGCAAGGGGGTGATCTAAAACTGGGTGACTCTGGGACGGGCGGACATATCTGTATGCCCACATGCCTATCTCTTCGGTCCCCGAGCGGGAGTGTCCCCGGATAAACAAAGCCCGCACGTCCCCTCCTCGCCTCCTGCAATGGGGGGGCGCGGGGCACGCCTTTCCCCCTTGACGAGATGGGAGCGTTCTCAGTACTTTGGGGGGCCGGTCTCCGAAGGCAGTGGGGCCGCTGCCAGCAGCCTCCCCTGCCCCAGAGCAGAACAGAACGGGGGGCTCTCACCCTGGCGTGTGTCCTCCCCCCTCCCTCACAGGAGGGCTGGGGAAGTGTCGTGTTCACGCCGGCGTGTTTACAGCACGCACTTAAAGGCTGTCTTTTGCTGAGTTTGCACTTGTAACGCCCTTTCCTCTCCACCCCCGGCAGGCTCGGGTTATGTACGACTTTGCCGCGGAGCCCGGGAACAATGAACTGACGGTCAGCGAAGGGGAGATCATCACAGTCACAAACCCGGTGAGAGAGCTGCGTCCCTTAAGGGCTGGTCTTTTCAGACTTTTTCTCACACGTTGGTCACTCCAACCCGCGTGGATTTCTTCCTGTTGCTTACGAAGTATTGACGGTAAAGTAAGAGTATGTATCTGCAGACACCGAGAAAAGGGCGGTCCCCCGAAGACGGCTGGGTGGGGTTCTGTCGGACGGAGTGGAGAGCGGCACCCCCGCCCGCCGGACCGGAGGAGGGGCAGAGGTCAGAAAGTGTTCGGTGTTTCTCAGACGCCTCAGCCACGCCCTGGCAGCCTGTGAGCCAGGGGTTCGCTAAGTGCTGCCGTATTCCCTGTAATGTGTCTCCCCACGAGCTCTGTGAGGTCCGGATGATTTATCTCTCTTTACAAACGAGGGCAGTGAGACTGAGAGAAGTTAAGGAATCTGCCCCCAAAACCATTCTGCTTGTAAGCGAGCGGCAACACAAGGGTTCAAAGCCACGTGTGTCTGGCCTGTAAGCCGCTGCCTTCCCTTCTCCGCTGGGGAGCACGGCGTGTGATGGACCCCGCATCCCGGGCGTGCAGGGTGTGCGGACCAGGAGGCCTATATAATCCCGTGTATAATGGGCACAAAAACGTGGGTGCTCATTGTACACGGCAAAATATGGTATATGTAGTTTTATAAAATATGCTAACTGTATTTAAGTAAATGGGTTCTGTTTTCAATCATAGGAAAAATTTAGATTATCTACCCATCTAATTTTTTTAAATGAAGAGGTGTTCTTCATATCGTGGAAGAAACAGTATTGTCTTTAAGTTGCTATTGTCAAAAATGGACAAAGCGGTGGCTTAAAGTGATTTCTCTGAAAGAATATTTTATCTAGATTCAGGTAGTTATTAACTGATTAGGGCACACTTTATGCACTCAATCCTCACTGTTTTAAGGGGGAAAGCTGGGACTTTGCTGAGGTAATAGATTGAAAAATAGGAATCCTGGCATAGAGCACTTTATTATTTAGTTTACTAATGTTACTTATTCGGAAGAGCTAAGGAACCGTGCATCAGTAGCTAGCTTTCCCCAAATGGCAAGCAGTCCTAAAGCTGAGTGGCTTTAGCAACCAGGAATCCACAAGTCGCTGGACGGTTCCCCGACCTGGGCTCATTCAGGAGCCTGCCGTCACCTGGGGCCCAGGGTCCTCCCGAGGCCTCAATCGCCCGTCTGGCTGGGCTCCTGCTGGGGGCGCTGGCTTTGGGTGGGGCAGCGGGCAGACTGGGCCCTGTCCCCCTCAACGTCTAGCACCCCAAATGTATTCTCCTAGCAGCTCTCTGGGCGGGGGAGAGCCGTCTGAAGTGTGCAGATCCTCTCGAGGGCAGGCCCTGAGCTCCCCCCGCCATTTCCACCTCATTCTGTTGGCCTACGTGGTCACAAAGGGTGGCGTGCAGACTCTAGAGGTGGGGCGTGCGCCCCGCTTCTTGACCCTGGAGCTGCGCATCAGCTTCGTGAGCTCCCTCCCCCATAGCAGGAGCCAGAAAGCGACCTCATAGTGGTGGCCTTGTGCTAGTGGGCTGCCTTCAGTCTCTGGTCACTTACTGTCGAAGTTGGATGTTCTTGTTTTTTTGTTTTGTTTTGTTTTTTGGGTTTTTTTTTAAGATTTTATTTCTTTATTTTTAGAGAAGGAAGGGAGGGAGGGGGAGAGAGAGAGAAACATCAACGTGCGGTTGCTGGGGGCCATGGCCTGCAACCCAGGCATGTGCCTTCACTGGGAGTTGAACCTGCAACACTTTGGTTCTCAGCCCGCGCTCAATCCACCGAGCTACGCCAGCCAGGGCTGATGTTCTTTTTAGATGATACAATTTTCTGGAGTAAAGAGAAACCTTAAAAATGTTAGATTTTGAACTTAAGTTTTATAGGAATAAAAAGATTAATGTTCATTGTTTTTCATGTATAACAAAATTCATAAAGCAAAATTTCTGCAGGAAATTCCAACTATAGTCTTTTTTTCTTCCTTTTTTTTTAAAAAAATTTTTCTTAGGACGTTGGTGGAGGCTGGCTGGAAGGAAGGAACAGCCGAGGAGAGCGAGGCCTGGTGCCCACAGACTACGTGGAGGTAAGAACTCACCGTTACGGACCCACTGCCCCCGGGCCCCGTCAGACATCCCTGTGTGGGTTACTGCCTCAGCTCAGCGAGCTCGCTGGGGGAGGGCAGCTCCTCTTTAGTTAAAAATGTCCATTGTGAAAGCAGTGCGTGCTGATGGTGTACAATGTGGGGGACACGTTGAAGTAGAACTGAGAAAACTGGAGCTCGGAAGAGTGACTCCTAACATGTAGATTAAGCTCTGTCCGAGGACAGCAGTGTTTCGTCCTCCCGAACACAGGTCTCTGTTGTTCACGTGCTCGTGTTGTGTAATAGCTGCTGCCTGCGATCCTGTTTGCTGGAGAATGGACTCAAAGTTTCAGTAGTGGTTTTTAAAGTCACTTATTACTTCTCCCTGTGCTGATTTAGGACACACCCCTCAGCCCCTTCTCCCATCCCCGCAGACAGAGGGTGTGAAGGGAGCTGCTGTGAGAACCATTGCCTGGTTGAAGTTCTAGTACGACAGATGCCAAGGTCAGGGTTACAACACTCTGAATGAAGGGAGCTCCCAGCCTGGGTCACACCCACTCAGCCCGCAAACCCTCCTGTGCGTCAGCCTCCTGGCGCCCCCTGCTGGTTGTCTGTAGCTCACTCAAAACTAAGGACCTGTACCATAGGTGAGCTTGCCTCAGCTCCCATGATAGAAACTAAGGTTGCCTGGTGCCCTGTGGTGAAATCAGAGTGAGAGCAAGAATAAAGGTACCTACAGCTCCCCCCAGTAGAGAGGAACCGTACTGGTACGGCAGGAAGGTGTTCTCCTGGGTGCCGCCTGCAGCACTTGTTCCTGATTGGGAGTTGGGGTAGGAAGCTGCGCACCCTCCGGAGAAGGTGGTGAAATCTGCAGCCCTTCCCAGGATGCTACCGATGGGCAAGAACGAGGACACTCGGAGGATTTAAGTAGATACTGGCGTGAACTGCTTTCTCTAGCGTTCTGCGTGTTCACACAAAGGACTCGTTATAGATGGTCCTGGGCTTGCTTGCCTTTTCAGAATATGAACCCCTTTCGCATAATGAATGACAGTTCTTCCTTGTGCTTAGGGACTCTGACTCTGAAGTAACTCTAATCTGTGAAAATAATCGTGCCTCTCTTGGACATTCAGATTTTACCCAGTGATGGGAAAGACCCATTTTCCTGTGGGAATTCAGTGGCCGACCAAGCCTTCCTCGATTCGCTCTCAGCGAGTGCGGCTCACACTAACTCATCAGCCGCCAACAGCAACAGCCAGGTAAGTTCCGCTCATCCCACTGGGGGTGGCTGCCTCTCCAGAGAGCCGAGTGCATTTGGGAACGCTCGCGATGCGCTGTAGCTGTTAGATGTTTGTGTGGCATTTCTGCTGCGTATTAACAAAGAACTTGCTTGTTGAACCTGCGAAAGACTGTTCACGAAGGTGATTGTAAGAGAAAAGGCAGGGTGTTCATCAAGAGTCGCCTTTCAGCGTCTGGCAGGATCTGAACGCAGACCCCGTGATTGCGAACACCCCGTCACGCCAGGGCGTGGGGAGAAAGGAGGGTCCTGCGCTGAGGTGGGCGGCGTCGAAGCCCGGGCTGGCCCGGAGCGCTGGTCCGGCCTCGGCCTGGTCACTTGTGCTGTCGGTGGGAGCGCCCTTGTTTGCAGGCGCAGCGCAAGGGAAAGTGACCTTGACTCCAGCACTCAGCACCTGGTACTATTGCTGCGCTGCTTCTGGAAAACTTGGAAGAGTGGGGTAATTTGAGAAAATTACAGTGACATTTTACATTAATGTTAACGAAAACACAGTCAGTTCAGGTGATGCTTCCTCGTTGGGGTACTGCTAGTGGGTTCCCCACCGTGAGTGACGAGCACTGGGAGGACGGGTACCAGAGCGCTGTCGCCGCCCGCGTCTTCGTAACGAGTGCACTTTAGGGAACGTTACTTCTTTTTTTTAAGGTTTTATTTATTTTTAGAGAGAGAGGAAGAGAGGGAGAGAAATATCAACGTGTGGTTGCCTCTCGCGTGCCCCCCACTGGGGACCTGACCTGGCCCGCAACCAGGCATGTGCCCTGACCGGGAATCGAACCTGTGACCCTTCGGTTTGCCAAGCTGGCACTCAATCCACTGAGCCGCACCAGCCAGGGCCTGTTGTCTCTTGGTATTTTTTCAACTTACTTAGGTGGTGTGTGCCTCCGTTTCCTCGTCAGTGAAACCTCGTAGCACTGCTGGAAAGAGTGCCTGGGGCGTAGTTCTGAAGTGGTCAGACCAGCGCTTCGTACTTAGCAGGGCTGGGATCCGACGAGTGTGCGCTGCAGTCACCCTCCGCAGTGTGCGGCTCCCAGCGGTCTCTGCAGCCCACGGGCCTGCCCACCCCGGAGCTGCGGCCTGGGAAGCCCGTCCAGGCAGGGCCAAGTCCTGCGGCGCCCCATGCCCAGGGCTTTGAAAACAGTTCCGAATGTTTTGTCCTTTCTGTTTTCTAGTTTCAAGTGGAGGCGTAAATTGTATCCCAGTTACTCCATCTCGATCGCCTCCTTTGCATGTGAATTGATTTCTGAAACCAAGTGTATCTACGTCTGTAGAACAGAAATAATGCCACCACTTACGCCGCAAGAGAGTCGCACCTGAAAAGTGCGTTCTCATAACCCCGTACGAACGTTAAATGATGGCCGTGACTTTCCTGATGGACCGTTGCGGTGCTGGGGTTCGAAACCTGGAAATTAGGCTCCAAAGCCATCCTCTCAACAGCGATGCCGGTTGGGCCATTGCCTGGCTTCGTGGGGGGGCTGCCTGTTATTGGTGTGACCTGTCCTCACAACGAGGCTGCATACCGAGTCAGGGTCACGGGAGCGCACCCTGAAAGCCCTTTGCTCCCGGGTTCACGGCCCGGACAGCCTGCTCTGTGCTCTCGGCCGGGCCTGGCAGGCCTGCGGTCGCCTCGCGTCAGCCCGGTGGCTCTGCTCATCTCGGCCGGGCTCTCACGTGTCTGGTGGCTGTGAAAGCAAAAGGTTCAACATCTTAACGTTTTTCAAAGCTTGGCTGTGTTATTTCTCTGGAGTTTTCTTTCGTTAGCTGGGTGACTTGCATGATACTTGTTCCATTCCTTCTGTGCTGCAAAAACTTGTTTTTGCTGCTTCAGAGCTACTGCATTACGTACGGCAGCAGCAGCCTTAGAATGTGTGCTGCGGCTTTGGAGACGACCCGCCCCTGCGCCCCTGCAGCTCTGCTCCCTGCACGCGGTGTGTGTGCGTGAGAGGCATGCTGGGGTTTCCCGGTGAGCTCGGCCCTGCTGTGCACGTGCTGTCTTCGGTGAGAAGCTTTGCTGCACTCTCTCTCCCCTGCATTTACTGAGCGCCCTTTTTATTTTAAGGTGGATATTTTGGCTCAGATTCGTTGTGTTGAAAGTCTCAGCCAGTCGCCACCTTCTTCATCTTCTCCTTCTCCTTCCTCCTCCATAAATAAGGTAAAATTCAAGCTCGAATGCAAGAGGGAAGAACCAGTTAAGACTCCTGCAAGTAATACCTTCTTCTCAGTTAGGTCCTTGTGTCAGGTAAAGCACACCTTGTGTCAGGTATCTGGCAGAGCTCTTCGGGCCTGTGGGACGTTTGGAATTGCAGAGTCAGCAAGGGCTTGGGGCCCCAACGGGAGGGAGAGGAGGAGGAGGAGGAGGAGGAACTAACCGGTGGGTGGACCCGAGAGAGGCAGGAGAGCTGGCAGGAAGCCAGGAGGAGGCACCTGGGGGGTTGAAACCTTAGGGAGGAGCAGAGTGGGTCCGTGTGTGACCCGCGCCTGCAGGTGAGGGACCGGGGGCTCACCGGGGTGAGTCAGAGTCAGCGGCCAGAGGCGTGTTACTGAGCCGGCCATTGCAGCCCAGTTCATTACAGTGGGGTCAGGCTTTGAGGAAACCGAGGTTCCAGCGTTCAGCGCTCAGAAATTGTTTGTGCCAGGGCCCAGAGAGTTAGGGTTACAGTTGAGCAGGAGGTGAAACAGTTCTCTCTTCTTCCTCTTTCATTTAAGTATCTGAAACCTTAGGTTTGAAACAGGTATTTGGCTAGCATAGAAAACATCTTAAATGCTTGTTATTACCTCTTTCATGTGATCTGGCATTGAAACCAATTGGAAATAGGACTTTCGGATCTTTTCCTCCAAAGCATAAAACAGTAGGTGTACTGGCCATATTGGGTTTTGTTCAAAGAACTGCCAGTCTTCATTCTTTTCTTTGTATTCTAGATGACCCCTCCATGTAACAAGGTAACCGCTCCTGCAGGCACACTGTGTGCTGGGTATTGTGTTAAGTGCTTTGCATATGTTATGTCATTTAATCCTTACAAAACTCCCACGAGGAAGTTAAAGTTATTGCACCCATTGTATAAGCGTGGAAACTGAGGGAGATGGAGTCACTTGGACAAGTTCATCCAGCTTGTAAGTGGTAAAGCTGGGGTTTAATCCCAGACAGACCGCCCTGGGGCCCCAGTTCTTAACCCAGTTCGTACCCATGAGAGATTGACTTGAATCAAATTCCAGTGAATCTGCGGTCGCTGGATTTAAAAGTCACCCGATGGACCAGTATTCTTTTTCTTTTAATCTTCACCTGAGGATGCTTTTGTTTTGTTTTCATTGTTATTAAAGAAAAAGGAAGAGAGAGGGAGGAAGGAGCGGGGTTGGGGGAGAGAGAGGAACATTGATGTGAGAGGGAAACATGTATTGGTTGCCTCCCATACGTGCTTCCACCAGGGATCGAACCCACAACCTTTTGGTGCTCGGGATGACTGTCCAACCAGCTGAGCCCCCTGCCCCCAGCCAGAGTGGGCCAGGACTCTTACCCTTGCCCTTTTATCTCCTGCCCTGTTATGCATGTGTAAGGTGCACAGCTTTCCTGGGATGGTCATCTCAGGGACACCCATCACTGCCCACCCCGTGGCCACGCGGGTTCCCCTGGGGTCTTGCTGGGTGTGCAGGCAGGTACGAGCCAGGCTGCTTTCTGCAGAAACTCGGCCTGTGCTTCAACCCTCTCAGTGGATGCACTGAAATGCTTCTCAAGCTCTACAGGCAGTGTAAACGCATTTCTCTCTTTGTTCCATGAGGCCAGGATTGCTCTTCACTCGAGAGCGCTAAATCAGCAACTGGAGACGCGGGGCTCCTGGCCTTACGTGGCTTTGGATTTAGTCGGCACAGGGATGAGGCAAAGAGTCAGAGGTGATCGGCCCGTCTCCGCGAAAGACGGATGGAAATGCGTGTGTGACAGAGATGCAGACAGACACGCTCTGGGAGTGCTTTCATCCAACAAGCACTCAGTCAATTTACTAAGCACCCACTGCGTGCAGGTCCCATGTTCATAGGCAGCGGGGAGTCACTTGTGACCGGGGGACATGGCCCTTCTCCGTGTATCCTGGCGGAGTGCAGAGCCAGACGACGGTATACCCAGACTCTGTGTGTTGGATCCGCCAGCATTTGCTGAAACTCCGGGCATTGAAAACTTCGGTGATTTCACAGTGGATAACCGTGAAGCACCTTCTGAGTGCTACCGTTCACATGTCGCTGTTCTTGCTTCGTCACACGTCTGCCTGTCCCTCTGTCCGCCTGTGCCTGTCTGTACCCTCCCCCTTCTCCCCAGTGTGCTGGCGCCAATTGGCGATGTGGGGGGCGTGGTTACCCTACGAGTGGGGCGGTGTCAGGTGCTGAGACCACGCGTGTGGGGTCGGCCAGGGCGGGCAGGCTGCGTCCCGAGAAAAGACTCGGGTCGGCGTGCACGAGGAAGACCGACCTCCCTGTTTGTGAGGTAGGGGCGGTGTTACGAAGGTCAGGCATCTGACGAGGAGTAACGTGTATTCCACGCGAATGATCGAGAGCATCATTCTGAACCACTTCAAGGAAAAAAAGACAAATTTGAGACCATGCCACTTTATGTAAGATATTTTGAGAATTGTTGGGCGAAGTGTTTTGTGGATAAGATAGGCTTATACCCCGACCCACTAGCGGGAGTGACCACCTGAAATGCGAGTACCTCTACCTCAGCCCGACCGTGGGCGGACGTGGCGGTGTGAGCGGGCCGGCTCGGGGACCAGGGCCCTCCGAGCGGTGGGGCTTGGACACAGCTGAGGAAGAGGAGGGAGAGGCCGTGTGCACCGGCGGAGAGAGCAGCGTGAGCAGAGGCAAGGACGCAGGGAGACTGAGGCCGAGGGACAGGGGTGGCGGTTAGTGGCAGGGAGGGCAGCGGGTCGTGTCCTGGGAGGAAGGGGGGCGGGGGGCGGGTGGACTGAGAGCCCGCGGTTTGTTCCAGGGCCAGTGAGAGCAGTGAAGGGCGTCTGACACCATGCGGTTGAGAGTCAGGAGGGGCTTGGTGCCCCAGAGGGAGGCAAGCGAGGAGGAGGAGGAGGAGGAAGATATCTGTGGATAGACAGGGGAGAGGGAGGAAAGCTGGAAATAAGCCCAGAAGAGGTGCCTTGGGGTCGAGACCTCAGGGGGGAGCAGGGTGGTTCGTGTGTGACCTGTGCCTGCAGGTGAGGGACAAGGGGGCTTGTGTGGGGGCGGGAGGGGGGTGGGAGCAAAGAAAGCAGAGGCCGAGGGTGGGTGGGAGGGGTGGGTGCCAGACAGACAGACCGGGGGTGGCCATGTGAGCTGGGTTTAGCTGCCAATGCTCGAGGAGGGGCCTGGGGGTCAGGACGGCTCACCCAGGAGCGGGAAGGCCGGTGGAGAGCCGGCGGGAGAAGCTGGAGAGTCTTCCTTCGGTCGGTCGGGTTTGGGAAGATTTATGAGCAGGAGTCAGATTGAAACAAGATAGAGCTCATGTTCCAGGAAGAGTAACAAAAGTCAGATGGCGAGAAGCCAGCAATGACTAGATTCACCTACAAGGATTTTATAACCTAGAGAGCTAAGATCATATACATCCAAATAATACAGCCATTTTTACAAGCAATTTGTAAGCAGAGTCGTTTTAAAGAGAATTATCATCATGTTACGTGTTTTTGTCCTAAGTGTTAATTTTTTGGGACACTTGATATGAATAGCTCACGTTCGATTTTCCCCTCAGTATTGATGAAGATGTTCCTCTGGCAGTTTGCAGACACTTACAGCCTAGTTGTCATGGCAACGCTGGGCTTTTACTCCTCCTGCTGGTCTAGTGTATAACCCTCTGCTCTGATTCCCGGTCAGGGCACCTGCCTGGGTTGTGGGCCAGATCCCCCAGTAGGGGACTCGTGAGAGGCAACCACACATTGATGTTTCTCTCCCTTTCTCCTTCCCTTCCTCTTTTTAAATATAAAGTCTTTTAAAAATAATAATTAAAATTACAGGAATAATGGGAGAAAAATACTTTAACTTTGGGGTAAGGCAGCCCCCTTTTGTGGAAGACAGAACTCCTCAGCATGTAAGAGTGCAGGAATGGAGCTGCACAAGCCCTTCGGAGAACACTGGGACGGAGTCCACTGACTGTCAGCGCACAGTCTCAGGAGCCCAGCAGACTTTCCTTGGGAATTTCACGTGGGCCCAGTGGGCGCTAGGGGAAGGGGTTGCCAGGGTGTGGGCTGCAGCCTTCCTCACAGGAGCAGAGCACCGAAAACCAGGTAAGCTAGCATCACCACGTGCTGGCGCGTCACGGGGAGCACACGGGGAGCACACGCAGCGGAACCTGGATCCGTGGGAAGGAACGCCGCCATCCGTGTGTGCCGGCGCACCGCGGAGCCCCTGCCAGGCTCCTGGTGGGGAAGGGCAACAGCGCCGCGCAGGAAGTGTCGTTTGGGCTCACTGACGTGTTTCAGCGCGCCAAGGGCCTCTGTGCGTGGGACGCGAGAGTGAGTGCGTGGGTGAGTGCGTGGGAGGCGTCGGTTAGGAGTAGTCGTCTTTGAGGGAATGACTGGCGTCTTAAGGCGGTGGGCATGTTTTTATTAATTGTTTTATCCCAGCCCGAGGACTTTTTTTAAAGTGCATGTCTTTTTATTCTGTTTGAGGGTTGTTGTTTTTTTTTTTTTAAACTGGGAATGTATTACTTTTTCAAATTAAAAAATGCTAGTAAAAATACAACTGATGGCTCTAACTCAGTCGAAGTGAATAAAACATCCTTACTATTAGCATGTATAGTCTCACAAACAATGTTAAATGGAAAACACAAGTTGCAGAGGAATGCATGCAGTATAGTGTTGTTCAGTCCTGCTTTGAAAGTATGAAAGTCACGAACATGGGCACACGCAGTAGCAGTACATGTGCACACACGAAGAGGACTGGGGTTCAGGAAGCAGTGACTCGGGGAAGGAGGAAGCTAGGGAGTGGGGGGCTAGCCCAGCCCCTCCTGGGTCGCTGGCGGTCAAATCCTAAGCACATACGGCAGAACGTTAACATCAATCAAATCAGGTGGATGCTGCTTTCCGTGCCCTCCTCCATATTTAACGTTTTTATTTAAAATTTTATTTATTTTTAGTGTTTTAAATTTCTATTGATTTTTCTAAATTCTTTATTTACTTATTTTTAGAGAGGGAAAGGGAGGGAGAAAGAAAGGGAAAGAAGCATCAATGTGTTGTTGCCTCTCATGCGCCCCCTACTGGGGACCTGGTCCGAAACCCAGGCATGTGCCTTGATTGGGAATCAAACCTGTGACCCTTCGGTTTGCAGTCCAGAGCTTAATCCACTGAGCCACACTAGCTAGGGCCCTATTGATTTCTTTCAACATCCCTGCTGTGTTCCGTTGTCCTGTGACTCCTACTGAAGTGAGGAATGCTTCCTAGAAATCACAAATAGTCTTTCTTTCTGACCCTTGACAACAGGTTGGCAGTGGCAGTGACCCCTGGTCAGCCTGGACTACCCCCAAACCTGGAAACTGGGACAGCACGGACGGCTGGGGGCCCAAGCCGGAGGGGACGGCAGCTCCGAGAAGCACCGCCAACAACTGGGACAACGCCTTCGGTCACCCCCAGGCCTACCCGGGACCAGGTGAGGGAGGGGCTGGGCCTGCACTGGGGCCCACCCTCAGCATGACTAGGGCGCCTGAGGCACAACGGGTTCTGGTCGCAGGAACTGCTCTCAGGGGGGCCCCGTTCATGCGCAGCAAGCCCTGCGCCCGCGCCTGCTGTGGGTCGTCGTTACCCCTGACCCGGAGTCCAGTCCCGGTCATCTGACCGGGCTCGCGAGTGCACACGCTTGCAGCGGCCAGGCTCGCAAAGCAAGAGAACGCTTCAAACTCTCGGCCAGTAACACACATTTATTTGCTTTTAAGTCTTGGGCTAGAAAATGTGTGTACGGGTCAACTACGGTTTATCACCCGCCAGTGTATGATCTCTGACTTAACTGTTTCACCTTTTCCTTAACTAATAGCCTGTTTGACTCCCAGGCTATTAGTGGAAATGCTGAGGCAGAAAAGGAATTTCTAGAAGGGGGAACCATTCAGAAATTAAGGAAGGGCATGGATGTCTGTTCTGAAATGAAGTGGAAAGGTAAAACTCCGCTCATCACCTTTACGACCCCGCGCAGGCACACGGTGCCGGAGTGGATCGTGCTCCCTGGCGAGGGGCCTGCCCGCAGGGACCCTGAAGGGCGCGGAGCTGGCTCCGAGCTCCCGCTGGAAGGGGCCGGCCTGGCGACAGACCCGGGGGTCGTGGGCTACGCCGACGCGGGAGCCGGACCACTGGCCTTCGTTCTGTAGGGACACGGCTCCTCAGCCCAGATCCTTTAGCTACTTCTGTTCTTTTTTGTTTTGACACTTGTCTCTCGTGGTGGCACTCTGAGGGCAGAGGTCGGGGGCCATTTCCTGTCATGTGGCAAAAGGATGCATCAGACCATGGGGTGGGGGGCCGGGGGGCAGAGACCCAGACCGTGGACCAGGAGGGAAGCGGGGAAGCTGGCAGCCTCACCCGCCGCCGCGACTCTGTCTGTGGGGCAGCTGGTGCTGCCCCGTGACCCTTGTCTCTCGTGTTTTCCTTCCCCTCCCCCCGCCCCCATCCTGTTTCTCTCCGCCTGGCCCTCCTTGCCCTCCTCTCACCCGTATTATTGTGAGCATTAAACAGTTCCTTCTCAGAGCTTTCTCCTCCTGCCTTTTGGCCTCCCCAGTCCAGGCATTTGATCTGCTTTATTTGCAAGTTTGCCCAGCTGGGTCTATCAGCATATAAAGGCCCTGGGAGGCCTTCCCTTGGGTGCTGTGTAGCGTTTTTACAGTCTGCGTTCGCGTGAAATTACTTGGACAGACAGCCCTCTTCAGGCCGTTTCTGCCCTGTCTTCTGCAGTAAAAGACAGTGTCTGCCATTGCAGCCTTAGCTGCCTGCAGAGCCGTCCCCCTCCCGCGTGCACTGCACCCTTTCCCCCCTGTTTCGGTTCTTGCACCCAGTCCGTAGTTACCACCAGAAAATCACGTCGTGCCCTTTGTGCTTTGTTTCTCTTCGCTGACGGTGTTCCACCCCCACCCCCACCCGCAGCCACTGGGGACGATGACGACTGGGACGAAGACTGGGACGACCCCAAGTCGTCCTCTCCCTACTTCAAAGACTCCGAGGCGGCCGAAGCAGGCGGCGCCCAGCGCGGGAACAGCCGTCCTGGCTCCTCGTCCATGAAGCTGCCACTCAACAAGTAGGTTCGGGGGCGCCGGGAGGCGGGGCTCCGCGTGGAACAGGCGGGAGGGACGAGGAGGCTTTTTCTCTTCTCGGGGATTTACGAAGCTTTGCGTGGTGCTCACGTTTGCTTGGATCTTAGCTTGGTAGCTTCTTGTAGTTTGTTTGTTTTTTTTATTTTAAAGGAAACAACTTGTTCTACTTAATGACCTGCAAACACTACTTTAGCTTTATCAACTCCATGACGTACCAAGGTTTCATTGCTGACGTCCCAGGAAAATTAAAAGTAGTAACTCTTTTCAGTGTTTTCCTAGTACGTACGGCTTGCCGTGTAGCCAGGCCTTGTGTGACGCGGTTGGCATGCATTCTTGTCTGACCCTCCCGTCCCTTTGCAGCGCGTATAGTCTCTGTTTATACGTGGGGGAAACCGGGGCCCAGGGAGGTTAAGTAACTGCCCCGCCTCACACAGGGGTACGTGGTCTGGTCAGGGGTCCAGTCCAGCCCCCCAGTCTCCTGAGCTGTGTGCTCTAAACAGCGCCTTGTGTGTTTAAGACTTGGTTTTCACTGGGATTTCTTTAGGTTAACAAGAGAAAGCTTTGAGCGGCACGTGTGGAGGTGCTGCCTCCCAGGAGAGCACGCGGTCGGTGTGGCCAGAGCGCCACGGGCCCCCCCCCCCGCCCCCCGCCCGGGGGGAGAGGGCTGGGCGACTGCAGCTCACACCGGCATGGCTCGAAGGAGATGGGCGTGTGCCCTGCAGGAGGCTCTTCAAGTACTCCTCTGACAGCAGTTACGTTCCCAGTAGTTTTATTTTTCTAGAGTTCCTGATACTTTTTCTCAGTGTTCCAAGTCCACGATTCAGAGCAGATACCGAGGAATGTTAATCTGTGTCTGGAAAAAAGCTGTAAACATAACGTTCGCTGTACACAGGGTCTGGCACAAATAACGGCCCTTTTTTAAATGCAAAGTCCTTTATTACAAAATCACAAGCGTATCATTCTGCACACCACATGACATTTTAGGTGGAACGTTCCAGTTGAAACTATAAATTGTTGCATGACCCTCCCCGCCACGTTCAGGCAGGCCTGACTTCTGCCGGACCCTGTGTGTCCAGGTCTCAGGCTCTAGGGCTAGACCTGCACGCGTGCGCACACATTGAAGAAGTCCTACAAGTCGCCTTAGTGTTTAAACAGCATCGGTGATTGTCATCTCTCAGCTACCCACCTTTCCTGCCTCTCTGTCTAGTTTCTCCCATTATGTATTGTTATGCCCAGTTGCTTGCATGATAAAAAGGAGTCATTCGTTGTTGACCCTGTCCTGTTTCTTCGAGTCAAATTTGAAGTTTTCAGTACGGTGCGCAGTGATGTATGTTACTCTCCATTTAAACCTGAATACACAGTATACTTAAAACCCGTTAAAACAGAATGTGTCTCTTCGTCCTCGTTTGAAAGTGAGGAGGCAGGGAGTGAGTCACGTGACTGGCCAAGTTTCCATCGCTGGAAAGCCAGGCGGTGGCGGGGGCCCAGGCCTCGGGCTCCACCTCCCCTGCTCCCTCCCTGCGGCTCTCTTGTTCGCTGTGGGGTCTGGAGGGAGCTGGACAACCTGTTTGAATCTCACTTTCCTCATCTCGCAAGGGAAGGGGTTGGCTTTAAGAATTTTCTGCTCTAAAATTTCATTCCAGGTTCAAACGAAATCAAAGCAGTCCTGATTTGCACCTGCAAAAATGTCTGCAGCCCAAACATACCCTGTGTTCTTCAGAAGTAGTAACACCTCATGTGGCTGTGGGTTGGTCCCAGCCTTGCTCCGGTTTTAGAGATTTGCTTTGGATTTAGATTGGGTTTCTGGAAGTAGCCAGTTCTGTTATGTTTCAGGTCTCTCGTGAAGAAGACTGGTTTTCTCTTGTGTCTCATGAACTGGTTTTATTGTTCTTGTGGCAGTCCCAACAGAAAACAGCACCAGTGCTTATGCACAGTGGCAGTTTCTGTGGGGTGGCTGTGGCTCCCTGCAGGGAGCGTGCCGAAAGGCAGCTTTAGTTCGGATGCAGAGGTGCCCGTGAGTGGCCATTGCCTGGGCGGTCAGCCCCCTTTGCTGGGCTCGGGGACATCTCTTCCTGTGACCTGGGGGGTGTTTTTCTGGTCCGCCCTTCCCTCTTCATGGGGAGATAGAGTGTTTCAGACCCAGTGAAGCAAACAGGGCACCCTAAATATCACACCTCTGTGGAGTCACACTGCTCGTACCAGATAGCGCTTAATGATTAAGTGGCGAGTTGGCCCGCGAACAATCTGATTGTACCGGGTTCCCCTTACCACAGTTTCCTAGGTCTGGTCCACCTGAAAGACGGAGCGAGCAAGGTTAGAATGGCCGGGCTAAGTAAACATGGACGAGAGCTGCAGAGTTCTTTTAAAGGAAGCCCAAACACTCACAAGCCATTTGTCTTCATGATTAGGTTTCCTGGATTTGCAAAACCTGGGATGGAACAGTATTTGTTGGCTAAGCAACTAGCAAAACCCAAAGAGAAAATTCCTATCATTGTAAGTTTGTTCATTTTTGTTTACTTGCTCTGTTTCTGATTAAGCTCTTTTGTGTGCTTTAAAGCTAAGAGGATTGTTAGTCATTTGGAAAGCAGTTTTAAACACATTTAGTGCTCCAGATAACTGACAGTATGTGTTAGTATTTTGAGAGTACTGAAGATAATTAGCATAAAGTAATGCCTGTTCTTTATATTGTTTAGATATTCTCTGCCTTTCAGATTGAGTAACTGAACCAGCAACACCAACAGCACATACATTCTTCTAATCATTTTTCATCTCTCAGTTGTCTGGAAGTATCTGTCATGTACTGCTTTTCTACCAGCCATATAGGTTGAGCTAATAAACCCTGATCAAATATTTAGGTTTCTTCCTGGCAAAGTGCATGTACGTTATCAGAATAAAGTGCCTTTGCCATGATGTTGGCACTAATTAGCCTGCCTTCCAGTACACCAGCCCTCAGGTCAGAGTAAGGAGCCAGCAGGTGAAAGCTGGGAGTTCGGGACACGTTAAGAATATCTCTGCCTCAGAATAACTTGGTTGTCATGTTTCACCCAGACGTTGATGGCCGGTAGACTTCCTGTCTAATAAGCATTATACGGCTGGTATTCCCGGATGAAATTCCGGCAGAGAGCTCTGGTGGCTGTCTGCAGGCCCCATGGGCTGCGGACTCAGACGAGGAAGAGGGAACATCTGGTCTCACTCTGTGGTCTCTGGGTCCCAGGAAACTGGAGGAAATTGCAAGAATGATATTGGACTGACTTTATGACTTATTCCTACAACTTTGAAACCTAGAAAACTCCAGAAAGAAGGGATGTGACCAAGACCCCACATTTCCTTCTTTCCGCAAATCAAATTTGGGATAACTGTCTTCTGAGATATTCTAAGACCGATATTCTTAACGATGTCACTCGATTCAAATAATTTTAATTTACTTCTTTTTCTTCAGACTTTGTGGTAAATACAGAACATGTATCATTGCTCTTTTCGTTAAACTTAAATCTCCACACCGTTAAGCGCCCGTGGCCCTGCCCCTCAGGCTCTCCGAGGGGGCTTTGTCACAGCATGGCAGCGGTGGAACAGAGTTAAAGGACCCCGGGATTTGGGCCCAACTGTCTTAGGTAGCATTGGGCTGTGATCCCTGCAGGCAGCTTGCCTGTGTGGGCCTCTTGCGTGGAAAAGGGGCCTGGGGAAGCCATCACATCTTTAGGAAACTGAGAGAAAGCAGACCTGGTTTTTGCTCTTAAAGCACAGCAGTGCCCCCATCCCCCACCACCCCACTAATAAAATGTGACCCCTGGGTATTGAGCCCTCGTCATCGTCATCGGTCAGGATTGCCTCTCTGGGTCCCAGTCACCGTGACAGGTCCCCCAGCGGCTCCTCTGAGAGACCCTGCGCTGCAGCTTCAGGACGTTTCTGGGTCTGGGCCCTTCCTTGAGGGCCAGGGGATGGGCAGCGTAGCTCTTTGCCTGAGGCCTTCTCTTTGGTCTCATAAAGTTCCCCGGCCCCCAGCCACCGCCCTGACCTAAGAGCCTCTGAATTTGCATACCACACCCCGTTTTCTCCCCCTTCCACCTTCAGCGAGAGTTGGGCCCGGGTGTCCAGAGAGTGAGAGTGCTGACACAGTCTGATGGCAGCTCGACATCGATCAGACACCTGAGGGTGTGATTCTCTGTTTCACGGACTCTCGGCCTGTGGTAGATGAGACATTTTTTTAAAAAGCAGCAACTCAGACAGCTGGACTAGAGGGAGGGATGGTGTGGCCCCTGAGGAGCAGAGGGTGGACTGGCGGCTCTGCAGGACGGCCTCAGCAGGCCTGGGGGCGTCGGGGTCACTTCCCGAGCAGGGGCAGCAGTGACCCCCAGAGGACTCTGGGTCTTAGAGAGAATCGTTTGACTCTCATTTGATACATCAGTTCTGCTCACTGGTTTTCCGTGTAACAAATGTTAACTCTCCCGGCACGCTGCGCAGGTCGGAGACTACGGCCCGATGTGGGTTTACCCTACCTCCACCTTCGACTGCGTGGTCGCGGACCCCCGGAAGGGCTCCAAGATGTACGGGCTGAAGAGCTACATCGAGTACCAGCTGACGCCCACGGTGAGTGCCCGCGGCGTCAAACCACAGAGCCGCGCTTCTGCCGCCAGTTGCTAGTCATCGGCATCTTCCTTGAGTGTCTCTGAGTGATTGGCATCGTAACTTTTCCTCCTCTTTCCCTTGTTTTGTAGAACACGAACCGATCTGTAAACCACAGGTACAAGCACTTTGACTGGTTGTACGAACGTCTCCTGGTTAAGTTCGGGTCAGCCATTCCCATCCCTTCTCTTCCAGACAAGCAGGTCACAGGTGAGTGGGCACGACACTGGCCTCCAGAAGCCGAGTGCAGGGCTCGGGGGAGCGTTTCCCGGTGGGGGGCGGGGACCGTCACGGCATCTTCCGTCCCCCGGAGCAGCCGGACAGAGGGGCTGGGAGACCGCAGCCCGTACAGCTGTAGCGCACGTGTGTGTGAAGGTTCCCCAAGCACGTAGCGAGCGAGTGTCGTGAGGTTTTCCGTCAGAGGTCTCAGACACGTGTCTCGAGTTCTGGCAGCCGTTGTGTCTTTATTGCTGCACCCTTTCCCGTGGAAGAAACCCGTGAGCTTTTTAAAAGGAAAAATGGCACCTGAGGAGATGGCAGTGGCCCGCGCGGCCTGACGTGGGAATGAGAGTCTGTGGCCGGCCGACACGCACACGCGTGCAGTCCAGGGGCGGTGTTTTCATGAGCAGGGCGCCAGCGTCGGGGTGCAGCCGCGGGGGGTTGCCCGGTTTCCTACTCGGTTATTTAGGTGACTGTTTGCATCTGGATGTTTTTGTTTTCCGTTGGTGGTTAGCCTCTGCTCTTTCCTACTGAGTTAGGGTGTCGTGTCTCCCCGCCAGCCCGACCCCGGGTAATCTGGGCAGCGACCCACGGTGCTGCCAGCGCCCCTGGCAGATGCGCGGTCAGACGGTAAATGTTTCTGTGTCTGTTCTGAGAACTGCCGTTGATTTTTTTCTAATCTCCTCGTACAGAGCCTGGAATATCAGTACGCAGGACTCAGTGTTGTTTTCCTTGGAATAAAAGTTTACAAAGAAGCTGAGCTTTACTAAAGATCGGAAATAGTTTTAGGAGGGTAGCTAGAAATTTTCCAGGTGAACGGAACTGATAGGCATGGAAAGGAAAGGGTTAAAGATGAGTGCGAGGGGCGAGGCTTAAAAGGTCTGAGCTGGACAGGCCTCTGGGACCCGGGGACGTCTGGGCAAGAAGAAACGCGGAGTCTGCTCAAGGGAGGCGCGGGTGGGGTTTAACCCTCACTCCCTGCGGGCTGAGACGGTTCAGAGAGGAGCTGGCAGCCCTGGTCAGCCGGGTGGCGGGGTGGCAGGGCCGCTTCGGGTGCTTTCCCAACTGGTGGCTGCGCTGCGCCGTCTCAGCTCAGAGTCGGCGCTGAGCGCGCTCGGCTGGGTGGTGCTGAGTCTGGTGCGCAGCGTGCCCCGGCCCGAGACGAGATGCAGGTGCCACTCTGTAGTTAGAGTTAGTAACCTCAGGATGAGAAAGTCCTGCTCTTTGAAACTTTCCTTTGTGCTTTGTTGTGTGTTTTATGTTTCTCTGAGATTTTTTTTGAAGAGATGGAAACATTTGTTTTTAAAAAGCTGCTTTGATTTTGATTTTTTTTTTTTTTAAATTTTGAAGTTTCGAGTTGTCACAGCAGAGGGGAGAGTGGGGCCAGGGCTGCACTGCCACGTGGGGGGCAGGTCCTCGCCCTGGTCTGGGGACTCCTGAGCGGGCGCGGGCCAATGGAAGCCTGTCGGGGCGGCCGGGCCGGTGTGCGCTGCTGCCCCCTTCCCCTCCGAGGCGCCCCTGTACCCCCAGCTCTGTGCCCGGTTCACGTGGTCCCAGTCCGTCCTTCCTGTCCTGCTGCTGCTTTAAATTCGGCTTTCTTCTTAAACATTTAGATTCTTTCCATGAAAACTTCAGTCTGCCTTTCTCCGCATTTTCAAATTTCGGTTTGTTTCCTGAACGTTATTCTCTCCTTTACCAACTTGATTGGCAGTTTGTGAGCATTGAAGTGAATGGGTTAATGAATTATTTTAGGGCCAGGGAGATTTCTCAGATCCCTTAGGTTTTAATGCATCGTTTATTCTAAATCAGATAACAAAGCGCTGCTTTAAAGCATCATAGAGTCATGGTTCTAGTCCCATGTTAAGGTTTGTTTAAAAAAAAAAAAAAAGTGCAGGCCTGAAGCCAGGGTTGTGTCCTCGGAAAGCCAGAAAGCAACAGCCCCTCATCAGAAGAAAGTTGAGCTTTGATTCACTGGCTGGGCCGTGTGCCGAGGAAGCGGAAGGCACAGAAGCCACTTTATCTCCCCCTCGTCTTGCTCGCCTCCTGCCCGTGAGGCCACAGGATCATCATTATATAAACGTCCCTCCCACCGACGCCCCGGGGAGCGGAAGGAGTGCCGAGGCGATGATGTCACGACACTCCCGTGGGCTGCCGACGGGTCCGTGAGAAACTTAGAGCGAACGTTTGTTGTTGTTGTCGTTGTTCATGGGCTTGCTCTTTGTGGAATAATATTGAGTGAACCTGGTTTTACTCCTGGGTGGAAAACTGGCATATTCACGTCCTTAGTGAGAAACCCAAGAGAGGGTCATAGAAGACGGGGAAATGGAAATCCCTCCTCCCCGCTTTTCTCGAATTCTCCCAAGCCTGGTACGAAAACCTCACCAGGCACGCAGTCACTTCTGACGTCGTCATTTGGAAATAAGCCAGCTGTCGGAAGAATTTCAGGAAGAGCGAGAATCAGCCAGTGAGCAGTAGGTCTTGGTGTAATTCGCTCGTTCGCTCACAGTGGGGAATGGGCGTGTGTAGCGCAGGACCACGTGGAGGTAGTGGGTCTTTCCTGTCCGAGGTGGGGGCCGGTGGAAGGGGGCGTCACCTTACTCCCAACGGGTGGGACCGTTTACACACAGCCTGAGCGTGCCCCATGCTTGGCTCTCTGCCCCCAGCGCATGCAGAACTCGAAACGCTCTCACGCAGGCGGGGAGCCGGCCTGGCCCCTGGGGCTGCCCCAGCGCCAGCCTTTCAGCCAACGGGGTTGTGATGCGTGGGCCGGCGACGCTCTTCTCAGAAGACCCGTGCGTGCTTGCGGTCAGGAGTTCTGAGGGCGAGCTCTGAAACAGTTCTTTCCAGCCGCCCGTTCGTTCCTGTCTTTGCCTCGCCCACCTGGCTAAGACTCCGCATGGCGTCCAGTAGAAATGGTGGGAGCAGGCATCTTCGCTTTGCTCCCTGCTTCAGGGAGAAAGCACTGTCGTTCGCTGTTACATAGGACTGGCTTTAAGGGTTTTTGTAGATGCCCTTTTATGAAATCATAGGACTTCCTTCTGTTCCTAACTGGCTGAAAGTTTTCTGTGTGCCTGGCTGGCATAGCTCAGTGGATTGAGCACAGGCTGCGAACCAAAGTGTCGCAGGTTCGATTCCCAGTCAGGGCACATGCCTGGGTTGCAGGCCATGACCCCCGGCAACCACACATTGATGTTTCTCTCTCTCTCTCTCTCTCTTTCTCCCTCCCTTCCCTCTCTTAAAAATAAATAAATAAATAAAATCTTTAAAAAGAAAAGTTTTCTATGTGAATGGCTGCCAAGTTTGTCAGACGCATTTTGTACGTCCGTGGAGGTGACCGTGTGGGTTTTCCCTCTCTGTGAGTCGGCCCTGCGATCCTGGGACAAACCTCGCTCGGTCGTGATGTACACTGATCGTTTTCACAGGCTGCCGGGTCCGGTTGGCAGGTACTTGGTTGGGGAACTTTGTGCCTGTGTCATGGGGTTGGTCTGTGGTTACCTTGTAATGTCTTCGTCTGGCTTTGCTGTCTGGGTGCTGCTGGCCCGTGGGGAAACTTTGGAAGCAGTTCTCTTCTGTATTCTGGGAAAGATTGTGTAGGACGATATTGTTTCTCCCATAAATGTTTGATAGAATTCACCCCTGAGGTTATCTGGGCCTGCAGTGGTCTGTCTCTGTGGGAAGGTTTTCGGTGTGAATTCCCTGAATGAACCTGGGGCTACGCAGGCCGCCGCCGCCTCTTCAGCGAGCTTCGGGAGTCTGGGCCTTTCCCGGAATTAACCCGTTTCACCGAAGGTGTTGGGGGGAGTTTGGAGTTGTTCTCGAGATAGACAGCCACTCCTGCAGTCCTGGTTCCCATAGGAGTGTCTCCTCTCCATAGGAGTGTTTTCTTGATCTTGTCGATTTTCTCTCTTTTCTATTTCATTACTTTTTTCTCTTTTCTTACTTCTCTACATCTTCTTGCTTTTATTTAATTTGCTCTTTTCCTAGGGTTTTTTTTTAAACATGGAAACTGAAATTATTGTTTTGAGATTTCTTTTTTAATTACAGGCATTACATGCTACAAAATGTCCTTCAAGTGCTGATTTAGCATAAATTTTGATACGTTGAATTTTCATACTCATTCAGTTAAAAACTATTTTCTCATTTCCCTTGAAGTTCCTTGACCCTTGGCTTATTTAAAAATGTTTAATTTACAAATATCTGGGTATTTCCCACATATTTTTGTTGTTGTCTGAGAAACAGTTTTATTCTGTTATGTTCAGAGAGAAGCATACTTTCTGTGATTTTTTCACCCTTTTCGATTTGAGACTTCTTCGTCGCCTGGCATACGGTCCGTCCCGGAGAGGGTTCCGTGTCCGCTGCAGAAGACCGGGCCCTGCGGCGGCGGGCGGAGCCCTCTGCCTGTCTGGTCGGCCGGTCGGGGTGGGTGGGGAGTGCGAGCAGGTCTCTGCGCCCGTGCCCCGTTCCCCTGTGCTGGCGGTTACTGAGAACGGGGGATTGATGTCTTTGACTGTTGCCGTCACACGGTTCATTTCTCCTTTCCGCTCTGTCACTGACTAAGTGTGTAACTGCCATGTGTTCCTGGTGTGGTGACCCTTTTATCATTATGAAAGGTGCCTCCGCGTCCCTCGTAACTTCCTTTGTTGAAGTCCGTTCCGTTGGGTGTTAATGCAGCTGCTCCAGTTCTCCCACGTCCCTGTTTGTGTGGCCTCGCTGTTCCCAGCCTTCTGCTTCTAACCTGTTGAACCCGAGTTACGTGTCTTTTTGCCAGTGGATCTTTCTTATCAGGTCTGACAATCTCTGCATTTGGATCGGAGTTTTTAGACCATTTATATTTAATGTCATTGTTAACCCAGTTAGATTGATATTTGCCATTTTGCTATTTTTCCTCTGTGTGTGTCTTGCTTGTTTCTCTGTTTCTCCTTTACTGCCTTTCCTTTATATTAAATACTTTTTCTTTTTTTTTTAAGATGTTATTTATTTATTTTTAGAGAGAGGGGAAGGGAGGGAGAAAGAGAGGGGGAGAAACATCAGTGTGTGGTTGCCTCTTGCACACCCCCTACTGGGGACCTGGCCTGCAACCCAGGCATGTGCCCTGACTGGGAATCCAACCAGCGACCCTTTGCTTCACAGTCCAGCGCTCAATCCCCTGAGCCATACCAGCCAGAGCCATATAAAATACTTTCTCTTGTGCTATTTTAATTCCACCCATTAAAACAAATTTTTTGCCCTCACCCAAGGGTATGTTTATTGGTCTTTAGAGAGAAGGGAAGGAAGGAAGGGAAGGCAGGAGGGAGGGAGGGAGGGCGACACAGCCATCAGCTGCCTCCCACAGGCACCGCAGCCCAGGCGCGGGCCCTGGCCGGCCCTGACCTGCAGCCTGCGGTGCACAGGGCAGCGCTCCGACCGGCTGCGCCACACTTCTCTCATTTTCAGAACCACGTTTTTCAGTTATTTTCTTATTAGTTGCCTTAGTGGTGATACTATACATTATTCTGTAACATCGCAGTTTACTTCATGTTACTGTGAACTTAATTGTCGTAAAATTAACGGGAATTCCCTGAAACAGAGTTTCATTCTCTCCCCTCTGTCTATGCTATTATTATCATATATACACCATACAGTTTTCTAAGTATACGATTAATCCAACAGTATAGTGTGATGATTACGGCTTTCTACATGCCCAGGGCCTTTGAAGAAGTTAAGCAAATTAGAGTCTTTTATATCAACCCACATATTTTTGGAGCTCTTCATTTCTCCTGGTAGTTTCAGGGGATTTCCTCTTGGCCTGAGATAACATCCTGTTAGCCTGAAGAACTTCCTTTCCTATTTCTCGTAATACAGGTCAGCTCTCAGTGAATCCGTCACACTGTGTTTATCTGGGAATGTCTTTATTTTGCCTTTGTCTGTGAAGGATGCGTTTATTGGGTGTAGAACGCACGTCTGACGGTTTTCTTCCAGCACGGAGAACGTGTCTCCCCACTGCCTGCCGGCCTCCGTGGTGTCAGATGACAGATCAGCCTGTTCCGTGGTCACGCAAACACACGCGTGCACGTCTCCCCCCTCACTGTCCATGATGAATCGCTTTTCACTTCCTGCTTTCACAATTTTCCTTTTGTTTGTATCTGCCAGTGGTCTGATTCTGCTCTATCTCGGTGTGGATACTTTATGTTCATCCTATCTGGAGTTTATTGGGCTTCTTGGGAGTGGGAATTAAAGTTTCCCGTCAGATTTGGGAAGTTTTTCCACATTATTTCTTTGAATATGTTTTCTTCTCTTCTCCTTCGGGGTTTCCTACCAGAGGTTATGGTGGTGTGCTCCGTGTTCTCTGAGGCTCTGTTCTTCAGATTCAGTGACTTCTGTTGGTTGACTTTCAGGTTCATTCCTCCTCCTGCCTTTTTGAAAAAGCTGTTACACCCTTACAGTGAAATTTTTTTAAGGTTTTATTTATTCATTTTTAGACAGAGGGGGAGTGATGGGGGGAGAGAGGAAGAGAAACATCAGTGTGTGGTTGTTTCTCGAGTGCCCCCCACTGAGGACCTGGCCCACAACCCAGGCATGTGCCCTGACTGGGAATTGAACCCGCGACCCCTTGGTTTGCCGGCCAGCACTCAATCCACTGAACCACACCAGCCAGGGCTGCAGTGAATTTTTAACATCAGTTACTGTATTTCTATCTTCACAGTTTTCATGTGAGTCTTTTTCTAATAATTTCTGTCTTAAGAATCTCTATTTGTTGATTCCTTGTCCAGTTTTTCTTTAATTTTTTGAACATGGCTTCCTTGAGTTCTTCGAAAATGTTCACAGACGCTTCCTTGCCTGCTGCTGTGGTTCGTCTGCTCGGTCCGACATCCGGCAGCACGTGGGGGCACTCCTGCTTTCTCCCCGGTGCAGCTCGTGCTGGGCAGTCCCTTAGTGGTTTGTCGAATCCTGACCAGTGTGGAGAATATATTTTAGCAATTCTGGGTTCTGAGTTTTCTCTCTGAAGGTGGTTGTTTCTGTTTTATTTTTGTTTGTTTTGTAAGTAACTTGCCTGGGCTAAATTTCTGAAATTTGTCTCCCCTGCAGCTCACGTGTTAGTAGTAGTAGTAGTAGTAGTTCAGATCTGGCCCCCTGGGTTCACCGGGGTCTGTGTGTCCTGGGGGTGTGCCCCCTCGGGCCGCTCAGACTCTGCCCCCTGCCAGCACACCTGCGTGTGATCAGGGAGCACGCTCAGAGCTCCGGTCATGTTCAAGTTAGCCCTGGTTTCCGCCTTCTCCGGGCCCTTTCATGTCTCCTGTACGTGCGTGCAGCCTTGGAGTCGGCCAGCCGTGCATGCCTGGCTCGCCCCCCATCCCGTCTCCCCTGCCTCAGCCTCAGCCTCAGCCTGACGTGTCCTGGCTCAGCCGGTCGCCTTGGCTAGTGGAGCTGCTGGCGCCTCCTGTTCACCAGCCTCTGGGTGGTCACTGCCCCTGCTGAGCGTGGGCATCTCCCACCGCTGCAGGGCAAGGGAGGCTCTTTCCTCGCTAGGAAAGCCGTGGCTGCCCGTCTTCACAGCCCGCACCACCCTGGCAGACCCCCGTGTCGACCAGGTAGAGGGTAGGGAGGTTGGAGGTGGGGAGGCAGGACCTGCCCCCAGCCAGAACGCCACGGGTTTCCCCTGTGTGTGCCCGACAGTCAGCAGCTTTGCAAACACAAACGCCTCTCAGAGGGCCGTTTGCCTTCGGCTGGTGTCCCGAGCACTGACTGTGTTGTCTGGGTTTCGAGCTATTTTGCGGGGACTGGATTGGCTGATTGCCTCACTTGACTGTAGCTGGAATTTCCATCTGCAGAAGCCTTTTAACTGACGGACAGTGACTTGGGATGGTAGGCTTATTAAAAAAACCCTCAGTGTTCACGTGATGTTCAGTGTGTCAGTCTTGTTAAGCTCATTTTCTGCTTTTAAAACAGAAATTTGATGTATTAGGCTGTTTTAGGATGGTCGTAAGTTCTAGAATAGCAGCTTTCGTTATTGCATTCATGGAAAATTGCTTTTTCTATTTTCATTTTAGGTAATTTACAAAACAAAATGAAAAAACATATCGTCCTGAGTTACTTTGCATAAATACTAAATTTAATAAATTTGTATATCTGAGGTTATATTGCACTTGGTCACATTTTTATAAATATAGAAATTTCATGTACTTTGTAAGAAATACTTATTAGATTCAACTATATCACCCCTTACTCGCTTGTAGGGCTTAATATGGCCACATGCCACTTATATAAGAAAGAGAAAGTTTTTCATATTGAAGTAAGATTTACTTCTGATTTATAAGTACTCTAGGGACCCTTAAAGAGAGTCGCACTTTGAAGCTGTAGTATTCTTGTCACAATTACTCTATCAGATTGGGATTTCATTCATGCTTGTTTAAACGGAGAAGTCTGTTGTGTCGTTCCTGTGGGTCCCCGAGCAGTCGCTGTGCTGCTCGTCCCTAGGTTGGCGACACCTTACCGTGGTTTACGCTTCACTAAATGACTCTCTGCCAAGCGGCCATCGGCCGTACCAGCGGCTCCCGGCCGTGGCAGCAGCGGTACGGTTTAGACGCACTGGTGCGTCACTCTCGGCGTGTCCCCCGCAGGTCGCTTTGAGGAAGAGTTCATCAAGATGCGCATGGAGCGGCTGCAGGCGTGGATGACCAGGATGTGCCGCCACCCGGTGGTGTCGGAAAGCGAGGTTTTCCAGCAGTTCCTAAATTTCCGGGATGAAAAGGTAGGATATTGTACTCTGGCTGGCTCGGTGTCCGTTGGGAACGTCACACTCGCACCAGTTTTATGTCTGAAAAGAGTCGGAATCGCGTTGGCTGGTCGGGTGTTTCTCATTCCCCCCAAAGACAACGAGGGGATGGGGACCGACAGCGCGGCCGTGGGCAGTTCTGGTCACAAAGGACGGAAGACCCGCTCGCAGGACGGTTTTCCGGCAGCGGGAGCAGGTCGGCCCGAGTCGGTGCGCAGGGCGAAGGGTGTGCGAGGCGAGGCGTGTGCTCCTAGGCGCCTAAAAAAAAGGAGGTTAGACCCCTAGCGACGCAGGGTGTCATTAGCGCGAAGTGAGGGACATGGAGTGAATGATTTCTTATGATCACATTGTGACCTCACAGTGCGTAATGCGTTTTGAAAGGAAAAGTAGATTCGGAATTGAGCCATTCTTCTCAAAGCAGAGCTGTTTTTTCAGAACTGTAGTTGTGGGTCCAAAGTAAATGCTGACCTGTGGGCAGTCTCTCTTTTTTTTTTTTTTTTTGCCAATGGTCATCTGTTCTTTTTTGACAATCAAGGGACTGTTGGCAGTTGGCATCTCATTATTGTCTGAGAAGACAGTTTTCTCTCTCCATAAGCTTTCAATGCACTCTTTACAGTGTCTTCTCTAAATGTGTTTTCTCCATAGTTTTCTTGTAATAATTATTACATATCCTGGAAAATGAGAATAAAGGCAAAAGTTAGCTCAGACGCCAACAGATACAACATAAATTATGATCCTAGAAAACAGTCATGAAATGATTTCTGTGTTTGATCAAATAATGGAATGTTGTATACCTTGTTGAAACTTTCAGACAAAGATACACCTTTTTGCTAAATTTCTTCGTAGTACTTTTTCCTACTTAAAGGGACTACATTTACAAAAATAAGCCTAAATGTCAGGCTGTGTGTTTTTATAGACATATGCATACACTTAACAAAATGTAAATATTTGGGCCTTATTTCCAGTTACTGCTTATTTCTAGAATTGACAAGGGCATTTGAGTATGTTGCATGTAACCAGGCTGGGAATGAAAAACAATGAGGTGTTTCAGCGTTTCTTTGTGAATTTGTATCTGCCATAGGCCTAGCCTTACAGACTGCCCTGGAAAACTCGCGTTTTTCTGGTAGGATGTGCTGTTCGGTCCCAGGGTGTCAGGTTGCTATATTGGGTTCTTTGTGTTGTGTAACTCGGTCTTGTTACTTTGTAGTTACAAAAGCTCCTTCCAAGGTTGTTGCCTTCCTGGTGACTCACAGGACTTCAACAAGGGTTTATTTGATGACTTTGGCAAGGATTTGATTTAGAAAATAGTTCAAAAGTTCATGTTTTATGCAGAATATTATTAAAAATAATAATCTAGCCCCGGCTGGTGTGGCTCAGTGGATTGAAAACCGGCCTGTGAACCAAAGGGTTGCTGGTTCGATTCCCAGTCAGGACACATACCTGGGTTGCGGGCCAGGTCCCCAGTAGGGGGCACTTGAGAGGCAACCCCACACTGATGTTTCTCTCCTCTTTCTCTCTCCCTTCCCCTCTCTAAAAATAAATAAATAAAATCTTTAAAAAATTATAGTAATCTAGATATTGTTTCTGTTTTTAAATGACTTCCACCTTGAAAGATTGATCACCTTACCACAGAAGTGACATAAATGACAAAGGAGACCGGGCTCCGGAGCCCAGTTTCAGCTCTCGGGCAACTTCCTCTGGGTCCTGGCTCAGCACTTAAAGTCTGCGGGCCACGATCTCATCACTGCCCAATGACGGCCTAAAACTAGACAGTGTCAATCACTAAAAACTGTGATTTCTGTGGTCAGTAGAAGCTCATGTAGATGAACCAACACTGAAAATTCCAGTGAATCTATGGGAAAATTACTAGAAATAAGTGGTTAGTAAGACAGCTGGATATATAAGACCTTGCATATCTCTATATTGGCAATAAACAGAAAATGAAAGTCCATAGTTTAGACTGTCATTTAACTGTCATCTACACGATCATTTGCAATAGCATGAAAACTATCTAGGAGTAAATTCAAGAAGATTTACAGAGATATACATAAAAAACTATGAAGCATTGTTGAGGAAAATGGAAGAAGAAAGTAAGTGTCCCGGCATTACCGTCTGTCTCGCGGGCTGAGGGACAGGAATGGCATCCCGTGCAGGAATCCCAGCCCTGAGCAAAGCCAGCGTTCTCGTGAGAAAGAAGGAAGTCGGGGGAGGACTTCGTTGGCTAGAAGACTCCTGCGAAGACAGAAGAATTTCCAAAGCGAGGCAGCGGTGTAAGGAGAAGCAGACCAGCAGAACGGAACAGAACGGACACTTGCTCCATGCCCCAGACGGTGCTGAGTGCGGCGGGGGGCGGGCACTCCTTCCCACAGACGGTGCGGAGTCCACCGAGGGCGCCGCTGGGGAGAGTGGGGGCTGGGCACCGCCTCGTCGTCAGGTTCTGTGCCTCTGACTTGTTAGGGCTGATACTGGCATCGTGGTTACGTTTTGAAAACATGGCCCTACCTGTAAAAGATATGTAACACAGTATTTGTAGGTGAAATGATATTATAGCTCAGATTTCCATTTAAATGAGTAAGAAAAACAGGTAGAATGGAGGAAAGTAAATAAAATTGGCAAAATTTTGTCATTGTTGAGGGCTGAGTCTGTAGGGGGTTATTGTACCTTTCTTTTACCTTTGTATATGTTGGGAAGTTTCCAGTGTATGAGGTTTTTAAAAAACCAGCTCCAGCTCTCCCTTAGGTTAGGCTGTGGAAGGAGACATGAGGCAGCGTCTAGAAGGAGACGTGGGGGCACATCTTCATCCCCTGCAGTGGGGCGGGGGGCTTCTGAGACCAGACACAGAAATGACCGGCCACCCAGGGACAGGCTGGAAAACTAGACTGCATTACAATTAAGGATTTTTGCCCTGGCTGGAGTAGCTCAGTGGATTGAGTGCTGGCCTGCGAACCAAGGGGTCACCGGTTCAGTTCCCAGTCAGGACACATGCCTGGGTTGTGGGTCAGATCTCCAGTAGGGGGCAGGTGAGAGGCAACCACACACTGATGTTTCTCTCCCTCTCTTCCTCCATTCCCCTCTCTCTAAAAATAAATAAAATCTCTTTTTTAATTAAGAACTTCCATTTATCAGCAGAAGCCATTACAAATGAAAAACAAGGATATGAACATAGATAACCAAGGGCTAAATTTTAGAATATATGAAAACCCACACAAGATAAGATAATCATCCCAGTTAAAAAAAAAAAATGTAGATTTGGTAATGTGCTTCCCAAAAGAAAGTATCTGAATCCTCACCGAACGCATTTTGAAAAGTACTTAATCTCATTAACAATCAAGCAAGTGCACACTGAAACCCCAGTGAACACCGGTGCGCACGCGCCAGAAACTCGGCCCCACCGTGCGCGTCCTCTCGGTGGGAGGAGCGGCTGCTGGGGCTCGCGCACGGCCCGGCCGGCGGGCGTGGACACGGGTGAGACCGTTTGGGAGCCAGTCTCACGCTACCTGCCGAAGTCCAGCAATTTTCCACTCCCGTGTGTCCACACCTAACGGAGTGGGCATATATATATATATATCATATATATATATCATGTATATATATATATAATGTACGATACGTGGTACATACGTCATGTACACGGCAGCTTCGTGCACAGCTCGGCAGGGGCCAGGAGTGACGGCCAGGCACAGGACAGACAGATACACGGGGAGCCGCGGAGCAGTGAGCGGCTGTTGGATGCGGCTCCTGGGCTCAGGTGGGGGAAGGGAAGCCAGACACACACACACACACAATGTGTAGCACCGAGTTTAGGCTAGTTTAAAAAAAAAAACAACAGCAAAATCGTAGTGTTAGGGACTCGTGCCTCGGTGGTCGACACTGCAGAACAGTGAGGGAATGACCACCACTAAAGAAGGGAGGGTGATGTTACCTCGTTGGGGGAGGGGGGCGATGGTGGGTCACCAGGGGCTTCTGGAACGCAAGCGCTTTCCCTGCCGTCGCCTTGTGGGTAGTGACGCGGGAGTTCACTTCGAGAGAATTCCTCGCACGGGCTGTTTTGCGCTGAGCACTTTTCCGTGTATGTGTATGGATGTTATGTAAATCATACAGTAGTAGGATTTTAAAACTGGCTCACAATATGTGTTCATATCTTTTATTTTAGAAAAGCTTTAACCTTTTTTTTTTTTTAGAACTAAACAACCTAAAATTTTGAGGCACTCGGTCACAGTTCTTAGGGTGTTCCTCTCCTCGCTGTGTTTGGGTTGCTAGCTCTCGGGAGAGGAACCGCGGCTGGGTCGCCTCGCCCAGAGAGGCCGTGGCTCACAGGGCGTGTGCTGTGCTGTGCAGGGGCCTGTTCACGTGTGTAATGACGCGTGAAGTGTGTGGGCATCGGCCCACGGTGCAGGGAGCTGGCCCGGGACCTGCCGCTCCCTGAGTGGGAGCGGGGCAGCTGACCGGTGGGTGAGCCGCATCCGCTCGGGAGCTGTGCAGGACGGGAGCTGTGCAGGACCGGAGCTGTGCAGGACTGGTCCGGCCCTGCTCCGAGACGCTTTGCTCACACGGCTGTCCCGTCCGCAGGAATGGAAGACTGGGAAGAGGAAGGCGGAGAAGGATGAGCTGGTGGGCGTCATGATATTCTCCACCATGGAGCCAGAGGCCCCCGACTTGGACCTGACGGAAATGTAAGCGACGCTGCCCCCCTTGCCTTCTCCTGCGCGGTGTCCGCCTCCTCTGCCCCGGGCCTGGCCAGCACGGCCGGCGTGGGACCCAGACTGTCCGACCGAGTGTAGGAGATGAGCGGGGCTTGTAGTCAGGGGACAAGGAAAGCGTCACTGATGCGTGAAAGCACATCTTTCCAGCCAGAACCCGGAGGAAGGCCTGCCTCCTCCTTTGTACCTGGAAGTCGGTGCTCTCGGAGCCGCCGCAGGGGCCGGTCCCTGCTCCCAGCACCGCACAGTGGGGCAGGGCAGGGCGCGGTGGGGCAGGGCGGCCAGAGCCAGGCCGCGCCCACGCCCCGGTCCGCAGAGCGCGCGCGCTGTGGACGCCGCCCGGAAGGAAGCAGTCTCTGACCCGCTTTTCTGGGTTCCTTTCCTGTTGTTCTTGATCTCGGCGTTTTCTTAAACGTGGGCGTGGTTGGAAATCTGGAGTAGTTTCTTTTCTATGTAAGGGCTAATAGGAAGACTTGAGGTTTATTTTAAGAAACGTTTCTTGTGAAATCATTGCTTATGTGTGACCAAAAATACAAACGAGGAAAAAAACGCAGTGTTCTAACTTCCCGGAGAGCAAGTCAGCGTTAGCACGTTGGTCCCCGTCATAACCCTCCAAACCCTCCTCTCCGCGTACGTACGTGTGTGTCTGAGGGAAGAACCGTTCAAGCAGAAACGACCCTCTCCTTTGTCATCTTTTTTTGTAATCTAGGAGTATTACAGCGATGATGTTTTTCAGGCTGGCGAATACTTTTTGCATCCTTAAAGAACTGACAGGTCCAGTGCCCCCTCAGACCAGCCACTTTCAGGCTTTGCCCTCTCGCGGCACACCTGAACCACCTGCTGAAGCGCTGCGGCCCCCCCAAAACAATGCTTTTTTTTTTGCTGATCTGACAAAAATGGGTATAATTTTTACTAATTCACACCAAATGGCTATTGTGTTGGCGGCTGTCGTCATTTTTTCGCGTGACAATCTCAGGGCAAAGAGGGCAGTGCCCCTGACTGAACAGTCAGGTGTGGCGTGCTTTCAACGTTCTCGCGACGCACCCGTTGAAAATCGCTGCCTCGGGTGGTTGGGCAGCCGGGTTATTTTCTGTGATTCGCCACTGGAAAGAACGAACACCTACCGTTAGCAGGCCATGTTTTTGTTTTATGGGCTCGGGGGTACCTCCCATGATTGCACTTCACTAAATAAGGTATTCAGGAAACGGGGATTTTTTTTTTAGAATAATTTTATTTACCGTCCACAAGCAATTGAAGGGGAAAGGGAGGCAGAGTAAAATACGGATGACACGTTGCTAAGTGTCTAAAAGCCTGATCCTCAAGCCTGGTCCAGTGCTAACCCGCGTCAAGGGCAGTTGCTACAGGACAAGACAACAAGGGCCTGTGGTTGTGTTCGGGGCGAGCGTCCCCGGCCGCGTCGGCGGTTCTCCTCCCGCGCCCGACGCTGGCGTTGGCAGCCGAGCCCAGGACGCGCCTTCTTGTGCTGTCGCCCCGCAGAGAGCAGAAGTGCGACGCCGTGGGCAAGTTCACCAAGGCCATGGACGACGGCGTGAAGGAGCTGCTGACCGTGGGGCAGGAGCACTGGAAGCGCTGCACAGGACGTGAGTGGGGCGGGGGGCGGGGCGACCCGAGACGGGGGCGACGCGGCGCCTCAGGTGGAGTTGCGTTTAGTGGCTGGAGCCGTGGCCTCCCCTGGCTCCTCGGCGAACCCCACTCCCCGCCCCGAGTTAAGAATCGGACAGTGGACTCGAGCAAAGCCAGGCAGGAGCTCCCGTCAGAAAACACCGCGTTTGCCTAAATAGTCCCAGTGCTCCGGGGTGTTGTGATCCAGGGAAAATCCCTCTTTTCTGCGTGTTCACAGAGAACGTGTGGTTATTTTTAATCTCATGATTGTACCTCTTACTCTCCATCCACTGGTAAGATGCTGGTGTGACCAAGGCTCTGATTTTTAGGAAGAACCAGTGCAGCTGGCAGAGAACCTAAGACAGGTCCGCCTGGGGCACGGCCGAGGGGCACGTCAGCCCCGGCGCCCTGCCTGCTGGTGCCCTGCCCCCGAGGGCTTCTTGCCCCCCGACCCCCTCTTCTTCCTGTGAGCTGTCATTCCGCTGAGACCGGCGCCCGGCTGCGGGGCCCTGCCTGGCACCCGCCCAGCTCCTCCTGAAGGCACAGGGTCTCCAGAGGTCGGGCCCAGGGCGGTGGCGGTCACACGGGTGTCTCTGACCGCCTCAGAGGGTCGGGACACGGTTCCCCACGGCGTCTCCCCTGCCCTTGTCTCCAGCACTGCCTTCTGAGCCCCAGAGGGAACCCCAGCTTCCTGAGCTCCAGGGGTGCCCCCCCCCCAGCATTTATTTCAGGTGGACAAGGTCCTGCTCGTCCGTCACCAGAACCTGCAGGAACACGGGTTGTCCCCAGTTATTTTTTAAAAATAAAAATGGCTTTACGTTGAATTAAAAAGTCACACGTACCCACTTTTAAATTATATCAGTAGTTTGGTACTCAGTGTAGGAAAGAGGTTAAATGATCTGTTCTTGTCAAGATTTTTTTTAAGGTATTTATTGTAGAGAATCAGAATTCGCAGTCAGGAAGCAGTTTTCATGAACGAGAAACTCAGTGGGAGTGGCGTGTGGATGAACCGTTAAAACAGCCCAGCCCAGCACAGCCGAGCGCGGTCCTGAGGTCGGCTGGCCCAGAGGCTGCGGCCGGGAACGGGCGCGCTCCAGCCTGCGGCCGGATCTGGCCGGGGCCGCCCATTTCTGTAAAGAGAGTGCAATGAGAACACAGCCATCCCCCCTCATTTCCACGTTGTCTCGGGCTGCTCCCGCGTGACGGTGGCAGGTGCGCAGGTGCAGCGGACGCCTGGGGCCCCACAACTCCGGGGACGCGCGGCCTCGGGCCCTGTGCACGAGGAAGGCCGTGCCTGCCTCCCTGTGCCGCCCACGCGGCTTCTGTCAACGACGCTGCGTGTGGAGCCCCTGTGTGCATGCCCGAGGGGGCGACCCAGCTGCTCCTGCCCCGCAGAGGAGAGGAGGGCAGAGGTGCGTCTAAGGGGACTGTGTAGGGACGCAAAGAAAATCGCCAAAGGCGCAGAGCCTCTTCTTTGGGGAGGTCCGCAGAGTGACCCGAGGGTTCTGGAGCTTTAGCACCAGAAGGAGCCCTAGAGAGCAGTCAGTCCGTCTGCTTCGTTTGCAGGTGAGGAGACTCAAGTCTCTCCTCCCCGGTCCTTTGAGGTTCCACTGCCTGTTTTCCCCACACCTCGGTGCTTTCAGGGTTTTGTTTTGCAAATAATTATTCACACATACGTAACAGGGTGGGGAAAGCAATGTAATTGGAATCACAAGGGCCAAGCCCACCGTGTGTCAGCCATGCAACCCCGGGCAGGGCACCCGACTGACCTGACCCTTATTTTCCTAACCCGTGAGGCCGAGGGCTCCCTGGGGTGCCCGAGCGGAGTGGTGTCCGCAAACGCCCTGTGCACTCGGCGCCGTCTCCCGATGAGCTGCCGGCTCAGTCGGATTCCACGTGCTGGGTGGGACCGTGGGCGGCAGTGGCAGCGGCTGTGGGCCACAGCATGCACCATTCATTGCACAGGTGGTTAATGACAGATTGAAAGAATCTGTTTTTAAATATCAGTGATTTAAAAACCCGATAGTTTTATTAAAGAATACAGACAGCTTTGAATCACATCCAATTTCTATTAAGAAGAACCATCCGTTTTAGAAAATAGCCCCGGTTGGGGAACCGAGTGCCATTTCGGTGCACCCCGGGGCCCAGCTGACAGCCGCTCTCCTCTCCTCTCCCCCCAGCGTTGCCCAAGGAGTACCAGAAGATCGGCAAGGCGCTGCAGAGCCTGGCCACGGTGTTCAGCTCCAGCGGCTACCAAGGTGTGTGGTCTCCGCTCCCTCGCTCCCGGGGCTGCAGTGTCTCGCCCAGCCCCAGGCCCTGCCCGGGCCCCTCCCTGCCCAGCGGGCAGACAGGGGAGCACCACGCGCGCTCACTCGGACTGGCCAGGCCGCCGCTCAGGACTCCGGCAGCTTCGCCTTCTTCTGAGATGAGCAGGGGATTGTTACTGGTGTTTTCTTGCTCGCTCCTTTGCCCCCCACCCCCCGCCTTGTTTTACACAGTCTTGTGTTTTAACGAAACGGGTGGCTTTGTGTATAGCCCCTGCCTCCGTCTCTGCCAAACTGCGGTCAGGTCAGGTCTGCCCCTTACCAAGGCCAGACCTCATCAGGGTCATTTGGAGGAAAAAATTTTGAATAACAAATTCACGTCTCAATTCTCTCCGTAACGCATAATAGCTCTCCACTCAGCCCACGTAGTACGTCTCACCTGAGGGGTTTCAGGCCCGTCGTGTGCTGATGGTGATGACACTCAGGAGAACCAGTTCATTGTTTTCCCTTGAAGTTTTACTTTTCCCTGGGGGGGCAGGCAGGAAGTAAAAGTATTTAAGTGAGTGGCATCTATTAGATGCATGTTCTTTCAGTCACAGAAATGATGGGCCCCGGCCGGCGTGGCTCAGTGGATTGAGTGCTGGCCTGTGAACCAAAGGTTTGCCGGTTCGATTCCCAGTCAGGGCACGTGCCTGGGTTGCAGGCCAGGTCCCCCTGGTGGGGGACATGTGAGAGGCATCCCATTGATGTTTCTCTCCCTCTCTTTCTCCCTCCTTTCCCCTCTCTCAAGAAATAAATAAATAGAATTTTCTAAAAACAAATGCTTAAAAAAAAAAAGAAAAAATAAATGATGGAATCGGTGCTTTCACCAGGGCGTTCATCCTGACACCCAGGGAACGCGGGTCTTCGGATGCCTGCGTGTGAGTTGCAGGAATAAGAAATCGGCGTCATCGGTTTCAGATCTGGGGCTCCCGCACAGGAACTCGAGTCCCTGTTGACTAGCCTCTTCCGTGTCGAGGGAAATACGGTCGGCAGCGATGAGAACGGTTTCTTACCGCGGGGCCCTGCCCTCGGGTGCGCGGGCGTCTCGGGGCCGTGGCTCGGGTGGTCCCCAGGTTACCGCGAATAGAACTGCCGTGTCCCCCAGCGGTGTGCGCACTGACTGGGAACGCCGCCGAGACAGAGGCCCCGCGCAGGCCGGGAAGCGTTCCGTGTTCTTGCGAACCGTCGCGGAAACAGAGCCGATACGGATCTGTAAACGGGCGTCCGCAGGGAAGGAAGGGCAGACGCCGGAGCTGGGCCTCCGGTCGTGTCTTTTTTCGGTAGTTTTGACTTTGGAAACGTGGGAGTGTAGTACGTAATTATTAGAAAACAAGTTTAAGTCAAAATGTTTTTAAAAATTCCTAATAAACAAAAGCAAAATAAAACAAATGATACATAAAGATGAAGGCATAACCACATAAAGAGGACTGACTTCCAGTCACCTCAAAACACTGTGTTTTGACTATACATCCTCAACAGCAGATGCCTTATGGTGTAAAAAACTGCAAAGAAATTTTTAATTATTTTCAGTCATGCTATGATTAGCAATGTAATGCTGGTATTGTGATTCCAAAAATTCTGAAGTTATTTTACACGTTGTAAGGGAAAGCAAGTGTGTAATTGTGTTATCGTTGTTAACATTTAAGATTTTTAAGAGATAAAAATCAAAAGTTTTGAAATATAATCAGAAAAACCCTGTAGTCCTCATTTTGAAGCAGAGACACCAGTATGAGCTCACTCGTGTTTTTCTTTTAAAAACACGAGTTTGCTTTGCTCTGTTGACTGAAAAGACCTGGGACCGAGGACCCCCCGAGCCCCCCCGGCGGGAGGACGTGCCCCAGCCCCCGCCCGCATCACCCCCGTGCTGATCTCCAGACACTGGGTTCCACCAGACGAGCCAGGCTCCTGTCCAGCCAAAGGACTCCAACTCCAGTCTGGAGGCCCTTCCACCAACTGACCGGTGGAGGAAAGATTTGCGCATTAGTGCAGATGATAACTGCACTGCATTCACTGGACTGACGCGTGCCAGATGTGTTGAAGTCCATGCTGAATGCGGTGGTGGTTCGGGACATGTTGATCCCGTTCACCTTTGGAGCGTGGTGGGGGTCAGCTCAGCACTCTGACAGCTGTAAAGAGGAAGAAGCAAGCGTTTAGCCCGCACTTCGCTCCCCCACCCCCCCCCCTCCGGCCCCCGTTCCTGTGCCTCGGGGTTAGCCCCGAAGCCGCGCAGGAAAGCTGCTGCGTGCAGGAGCGCCTGGGCTCCTGGGGAGGGGCGGGTGTGGGGGGGCACCGCGTCTGCAGACCCGTGCGGAAACAGGCCCCAGACGGTGGTCGTCAGCTGTGGCTTCGAACCTAACGTCCCACGAAGCTCACGTAACGAGGAGTCGTGTCCCCGGAACCTGACCAGGCCTCTGGATCTAACTACTACTGCGAAGGGAATACGGGGAACGGCGGGCGGGGCCATCGCGGCAGGGACAGGGGGCCCCAGCGCGGGCGGCCCGGTCCCCTCCGCACACCCGAGGAGGACGCTCTGCGTGATGGGGGGCAGGGAGAGGGGCCTGTGGGTCTAAGAAACACGTGAGCCTTGTGCCGCGTGGACACCTCCGCACCCCAGTCCAGGCCGCCAGCGTGACCTGGGACAGCGGAAAGCTGCACGGTGACCGACATGTCAGGGACAGTGGTCTCGTCCTCATCGTGTGCAGTGGTGTCCTTGTACTCGGGGTGAGATTTGTGGGTGAGACGTCATGGGGCCAGTGCAAGGGGAGGTGGGAGTGGACGGTGCAGGTGACAATACTGCCCGTGAACTGCCCGCTGGGCAGCGGGGTGACGGGTAGGTAGATGGGGACTCGTTGTGCCGTCTGTCTAGTTCTGAAAGTGTGAAGTTTCCGGTAATAAAATTTTTAAATCAAACGAATGGAAAACAGTGCAGCTTGCAGCCGCTGAAAACTGTAACAACTTCCAGGTGAAACGGACCTCAACGACGCGATAACGGAAGCGGGGAAGACGTACGAAGAGATCGCCAGCCTCGTGGCAGAGCAGGTACTAACGGGACCCCTCGATTCCAGTTACGGCTTCGTGCCATCAAATCCACGTGTAACTCACTTAAGTCTGTTTAGGACAGACTTTCCCGGGGGCCTCCTCTCCCGTGCTTCCGGATCTTTGCTAGCTGTACTTGGGGATGGTGTTCCTCAGGTGAGGCTAAAGGGGTGGGCAACGTTGCCATCCAGAAATCCGAAAGAAAGCCTTGCGGTGTGGAGGGCCCGGGTCTGTCCTCAGCCCTCAGGGCTCAGAAAGCAAGGCAGGCGCCCTGCCTGTGTCCACTGCAGAGGGCTCCGCTAAGCCTCGGTTTCCTCCACCGGGGCACACGGCGACGGCGGCACCGGCCTAGGGAGGAGCTTGGGGTCCGGCAGCTGATGCAGAGAAGGCAGCTGCCACAGAGAAGGCAGCTGCCACAGGCCCCGCCCAGAGCGTGTCTGTCGCCCACGTGGCGGGGACGTGGTGTGGACAGGAGGCTCCGGGGCCGGGCCTCACTTCCTCCCGCAGCAGTGCGTTCCTGCAAGGGAGGGAGGGGGGCCGCTGCCTGCGCCGCCTCAGACCCCTACACTGAACAAAACAGACACACGTTGTTTCCGGCAACTTTTTTTAAAACATGTGTACACATGTGCCTGTGGACACACATGCGTGTCGTTAACTGCTCTCTGATCCTTGTAAAAAAGGTTAACTTTCAGATCTGTGTGTAACACAGCTATAAAAATTGTAATTCAGGAAAATGAAAACTGTTACAGATGTCACTAAGAGTGATTACTAGGTTTTCTTTTGATGTTCTCTGCTGGAATGTACACATTGAAACTTCAGCATCTTATTTTCTTGTGTGTAAAAGTACAGCCCTAACTACGTGTTTTGGTGTTATTTTTCCTCAGGGTGTAATACCCTGGGCCCCCTCAAACTAGCTGACCTCACCAGCCGACCACCAAGTGGCCTGGTGTTCTTTCATTTTCCATACACCCTGTGGCTGAAGGCACCATGGTCTTGGGGGTTATTTTCCTGTAGGAAAACTGACCCGAAAGCTTCACCCTCCACACAGTCCCGGGAGGGTTGGGCTAACTCGGTCCTCAGGTCCAAGTTTTCTTTCCCCCGATTGTCCCAGTTCCTCGGCCGGTAACGACCAGCCCTGTCTCGTTGCAGCCAAAGAAAGACCTGCACTTCCTCATGGAGTGTAACCACGAGTACAAGGGCTTCCTCGGCTGCTTCCCTGACATCATCGGCGCGCACAAGGTGAGTTCGTGGGCCAGTCCACCGGGGGCGGGGGACCGGGCTGGCCTTTCAGCCACTCCCGTGTCACAGGGGCGGCCGGGGAGGGGGTGGCGCTTTCCAGGGCCCCCAGAAGTCCGGCAGTGTTTGAATAGCAGGATCCCATCACATAGTTTGGATAGAAGAGCAGTTCTTTGTTTTATTCTATAAAAAGGTTATTTTGATGGAACTAAAAATATGAAAAGTTTTTCTTTATCCATGTAGTTAGGCGTCCAACAAAATAATCCTAATGTTTGAAATTTGAGGCGACGGTAAAAACAGTCTTTCCCTTATCGGTGCGAAGCCGCTGAGATGCTACGGCAGGTGCTCGGGGACCCCCCCCCCAGTCCGTCCGAGGAGATGAGATGAGCGGTCCCCCCTGAGCCCCGCAGCGGGTTCCCCGGTGAGCGTGAGACGGTCACTGCTGGTGCTGTCTGTCCGCCCAGTGCAGTAGAGAGGAAACTGTCATTGCCATCAAAAAGGCATTTTTAAACAAAATTTTAAAACTGGCTTAGGGTAGCCTCACATCGCAATTCTGGTTAATTTTTTCTCTGTGTCAAACTTGTGTATTACCTCGGAATTTGGGGTAGTGTATCAACAGTAGTACTCGAGGGTGTTGTGACCGCACTTGGATTTATTGGGAAGCTCTCTACAAAGGACTGGGCCGTGTCCATTGTAGTGTTCGGCTTCATAATCAAAGCGTGAAGAGGCCGCATGGGTACATTAGAAAGTTGGTGCAGCTTCAGATAACTTGCTGTAAAACTCTGAACATTTTCTCATCCATTCGTCCGTATCTTTGCTACTTTAAATCATGTCGCAGTGACCTGGGAGTGCTGTGTCTCTGTGAGACGGTGACTTTGTTTCCTTCGAAAGTGTCCCTGAAGCGGGGTTGCCAGGAGGGGGGATCTTAAATACTCTCACCGCGAGGAAGGAAATTCTGTGGCTCTGTGAGCGTTAACCAGGCTCACTGTGGTCACCGTTCCACAACAGACACAGAGATCAAGTCATCACATTGCACACCTTAAGTTAATCCAACGTTGCATGTCATTATATTTCAGTGAAACTGAAAAAGCAAAGTTAATAAAGTTAAAATCTCCATTAAAAACTCACCTCAGAACAGTTAGCGTGTCGTGGGAGTCTGTGCCCGCAGAGTCAGAGTTCCAGGCGGGAGCCTGAGTCACGCACCAGAGCGGAGGCGCCCTTTCCAAACGGCCGGGGGTGACGGGCAGCGGGCGGCCCTGCAGCCGGGGCCCTGGGCGGCTCTCCCGGGGGCTCCCATCGGAGTGCTGCCTGGAAGCCCACTCGGCGCGTCTTACAGAGATCCCAGTGCAGAGTCCAGCCTTCTGCCCAGCGGCGCATGCGCATGCGCCAGCCTGTGACGTCCTCGCCGTTAGTGCAGGAGAGGCCAGGAGTGCTCGCTCCGCGAACGACCATGTCCACCCAGTGCCTGGGCACACCCGGCGCCTGCCGCCCCGAGCGAACCGCCCCAGTCCAGGCTGTGGCTGACACGCATCCGGACCGGAGCGCTGTCTGGTTTCCTGCCTCGTCGTGACAGCGAACTGCAAATCTTAGCTCAGTTACATTTTTCAAGCGACTTAAAGAAAGTTGTGTTTAGATGCTCTCCTAGATTTTTATCTCGGGGGGAAGTTTTCTGTTCAACAGCAAGTCAATTATAAGAGATGGTGTGCTATAGTTTAAATTGATGACTAATCCTTTTAGCTTTGTTTCACTGACGCCATTTCATTTCCGTGATTCACAGGGAGCAATAGAAAAAGTGAAAGAAAGTGATAAGTTGGTGGCGACCAGCAAGATCACCCCCCAGGACAAGCAGAACATGGTGAAGCGTGTCGGCACAATGTCCTACGCGCTGCAAGGTGAGCAGGCTTGTGGGTGGCCGGTGGAGGCCGCTGTTTTCCCTGCAGTGAGTTGCTGGTCCCAGGTGTGGGCAGCAGTTACGTAAGAGCTGATTTAAACTGTCCTCGCAAGCCTGTTGTTGGCAGGATCTCCTAGCGACGGCGAAGACGCCTTCACAGCCTGAATACAGGCGCCTCTCATAGTGAGTGCCGTGGGAGGTCCCCAAGTTCAGCCTCCAGGTGTCTGTCTGCGGCCTCCACGCCCAGGACCGTGGCATGCAGAGGAGTGTGGAGGTAGCAGACAGGCATGGTCTGCTAGTAAGAGGAAGATGCTAATCTTTACGTAGTGGAGTGTCTCCCGGCACACGGGAGCAGGGAGTGGGTTTCTCCTGCTTTGGTGGCCAGGCAGAGTATCGGCGGGCGAAGGAGAAAGGGGAAGGACGCTCCGGTCTGACGAGGAGCACAGACGGCGGTGGGACAGGGTCACGTCGTTGGCCGTGGGGGGAAGACACGCCCGCGGGTTCCGGGGATGAGTGGGGGTGGTTGTGGAGGGCCTTGAGAGCCGGGCGGGAGGGTCTAGACTGGATGCGGGCATCGGGAAGTCATCGGAAGGTTCCGGTGAGGGGCAGCAAGGCGGTGCTCAAGGGCGAAGGGTGTGCTGGTTGCACGGGGCACGCTGGCGGGGCGGGGGCGGTCGGACCCGCCAGCCCGCAGCCACTGCTCAGGCTGTCGGGGGCTCTGGGGCCTGGAGAAGAGGCGGTGCTGGGGGGAGGGAACGGGCACGTTTGCAAGCTTCTCCCGGAGCAGCCCCCAGGGCCGGGGAACTCGTGGGAGAAAGAGGGCGTGTGCAAGACCCCCAGAACCGAGGCGACAGGAGCAGAACGGGAAACCTGAGTGCCGAGTGGGGTTTCGGCGGGTTCGGAACAGGGCGTTGGTATTGAACTTGTGTTGGGGGTTATCCGTATAGGCAAGTGAAGAGCTCTGTGCACCTTCAGACACACTAATGTGGACCTCAGCACAGTTAGCTCTTCATAGGACTCAATGCTGGCGGTTGGCTTTCTGGGCCTGGAGTGGAAGGGCAAGGCAGGGGGCGGGGGCAGGGTGAGGAGGGCTCTGATGAGGAGGCCCCTGCAGGTTGTGGTTGGCGGAGGCGGGCAGAGTGCAGTGGCATCGAGAGACACGTTCCAATAGGGACTCGTTGCTGAGTGGATCTGTCCAGCGAAGATGAAGAGTGGCCGTCAAACCTTCCCCCCCAGTAAGGGGGGGGATTTCGGGCGGCCCTGGTGCTCAGGGGCAGTGAAGCCCCGTGACTGTGTCCGCTCATCGGCCTGCCGTCCGGGGGCACCTGGAGAGACCTGCCTGGGCCATCGCTGTGCCCAGAGGAGCAGGGCACGGCCCTGGGTGCCTTGCTGGGTCTGCCGTGAACGGACTTGAGCGTCTGAACTGTTGCCGTCTGCAGGGAAAAGGACCACCAAGTGGGTGTCCTGCCGGTCTCTGGTCACAGTGGTCCTCCGCGTCCGGGCGATCACCTGCCCGGGGTTCCCCAGTAGTTAATGTGCAGATCCGCAGGGGTCATCCCTCTCCCAGAAGGCGGTGTTTGCCCTTCGCTGTTCAGATGGTTTTGTAGCCTCTTTCCAAAGGGGTTTCTCAGGTGCCGGCGCTGCCCCGGGGCCAAGCAGAGTGTGGTGGCGAGCGGTCACCGAGCCGAGAAGCCAGGTGTCGCTTGGGAGTCGGGGCACTGATGGAGCTGTCGGTTTTGGTTGCAGCCGAGATGAACCACTTCCACAGCAACCGGATCTACGACTACAACAGCGTCATCCGCCTGTACCTGGAGCAGCAGGTGCAGTTCTACGAGACGGTGAGTCGGGCCCCCGGCCCCCCAGCCCGCTGCCCGCGCCCACGGCGGGATTCCCGCTCGCGTACTTCCACCGGGTAAAGTTAATCTGTCTGTGCTTTTTAATCCTGAGATTAAACCCAAACAGGCTGTAAATATTGAGTGGGGTTTATTTTAATCTCTTAATTACCTCTGCCTTCCCTTATTAAATAACACTGGGTTTAAAAAAAAGTTTTCTTTTGAAGAAGGGGTCTTGGACGCTGGTGACGGGCCCCAGGAAGACTGGCTTGTGTAGCTCCCCACACTCCCCCGCCCCCACCCCCGCCCCTCTGCACGCGGGAGCGCAGCTGGACCGATGAGGTCACCCTGCCCCCGCGGGCCGGCCGGCCGCGGAGCCTGGCACCTCGGGCTCCGGGGGTGGGCGGGCGGCCTCTGTGAATGAGGCCTCAGAGTGTGCTGCCGCCGGGAAGGTGGGGCCTGCAGTCCTTTCGTTGGGAAAGCGAGAAAGGAGACGTAAACGCCTGTGCCCCTGTGTGGCAGTTCCATTGTGTGCTGGCTGGCGCGCCCAGGCAGCAGCTCCCGCGGGGCGGCGGAAGCTCCGCCCTCCGAGGGCGGGCGCCGCAATGCGGGGCTGCCCGCGGGTCGGCGGGCCGCTGTGCCCCTCGCTCGGCCCCCCACTGCCTTCACGGCGTCCTCTCCCGTGGGTATGTTCGGGGGCGACGGTGGGCGGGCCCCGAACACGTGCCGTGCACGCGTGGTCTCGGGACTCGACACTGCCGGCAGTGTCTCTCTGTCTCCACCGGCACGTTCTGGGACGGCCGTCACGTGCTCGGCGCACGTTGTGCGTTGCGAGTTGCAAACAGGCGGTTCTGGAGACAAGCGTACAGGGAGGGCTCCCGGAGCAGTGTTCTCCCCACAGCGTGCATGCGGTGCACCCGCACGTGCAGGTGATCGGCGCCACCGTCAGACGGTTGCCTGACACCCTGGGTTAGAGTGGCGGGTGCCTGCGTTCGGGTGAGAGACAGACAGGGGGAGGGGGGGCACCTCTTAAAACCCCGATCGTGTTGATTTGTTAATAATTCTCAAGCCCAAGTGGGGTTTAATTCCTAATGTCTCCATAATTCGGAAGAGTAACCTGTGTATTTAATCACGGCCTCTGTTCGGTTTCACATGGTTACTGAAATGTGCGTGTTTGTCCACGGGCAAACATTTAATGAGTATCATGCGCTGAGCACTTACTGCGAATGCTCAGGACCCAGGGACGACTGAGGCCTCGCACGGGGCACTCGTCTCCTTGGGGGAGACAGAGGCGCAGTGTCACCTGCCGGACAGCAGTGGCTTTAGGAGGATGGTGGCACTGCCACCCGCGGTAGCAGCAGAGGGGCGTGCTCCTCGGCTGGGTCTTAGGAGTTCGTGGGTGAACCGACCTCCTGTGTCACTGGGTGGTCTTGAAATGCTGCCTGGGCTGGGGCCAGCCGAGTCTGGGGAGGGGGCGGGCGCTGTCCCTGCCGCTGCCGTTGAAGAAGGTCCCTCCGGGAGCAGCGTGGAAGCTGGGTTGGTGCCGGCACAGCCTAGATGCGTAGACCCCACGGTTTGAAATGGTTGCAGTGTTTCTAGCTGCAGAGACACCGAGATACTAGAGTACTCGGAAGTTGTGCCGGAGGTGACATCTCAAAACCCTTCTGTTTCCCACCAGATTGCAGAGAAGCTGAGGCAGGCCCTCGGCCGCTTCCCGGTCATGTAGAGCAGACGGAGTGCGACAAGGAGACCTCCGAAGTGCTTCTCCTGACCCGGGGCAACGCCGTTCAATATTCTCCCCCATCATCCGGAAGGAAGGAAAGAAAGAAAACCAAAAAGTTAATGGAGATGCAAAAAAAACGACATTTATTTTATTACCAGCCTAAATGCATCAGTTATATCGTCTTCTTTTCTTCGTTTCTACATCCATTATTTGAGCCAGTGGAAATCGTCTCTATTTTTGGAAAGTATTTAAAATTAGCAAAATTTTGAATGGAAAATTAGAGGTTTCCCCACCGATATTTTCTATAAAATTGTAACTTTCGGGTCGCCCATAATCTTCCAGTTCTTACCCGAGGTCAGATAATTACTAATTGCTTTCTTAAAAGTATGAAATATGCCAGAATAAAAGAAAATACATTTGTATATATTTTTATAATTCTCTTCAGTGCTTTGAGACGCCTGTCTCTTTGGGAAAAACTACATGCCTTTCACTGACAGAAATGCCTAAGGCTCAGTGCTGATGGTTTTCAGGAGAGGAAGCGAGGGGGGGCCCTGGCTGCGGGGGCTGCCCGGGGGCTCCTCCTTTCAGAGGCTGCAGCCGGGCAGAGTGCGATGCCGGGCTCCAGGACCCCCCCCCCACCCCAGGAAGGGTGCTCTGGTGTCCTCGAGGGGCGCCGTCCCTCCGCTCCCTTCCTCCCTGAGCAGGCAGGCTTTGTGCTGGGAGGAGCGCGTGGGAGGAGTTGGAGTCGGTTTTCAAATACTCTGACTCTGCCCCCTGGGATGGAGCAGCCGCACTGACCCACTCCCCCACCCCCACCCCCATGCTCAGGAAGGAGTGCACCAGGGTGGGTGTGGGGGCGCAGGCAGGATCCTCCGGGGCTTTGACCTGCCCCGGTCTCCGGCTGCCCAGCCAGGCGCAGTGGGAGAAGGGAACAGGGTTCGCCCCTTGACCCCGCCCACTGGTGATGTCGGAAAAGATGGGAAACCCAGTTCCGAGAGCCCCTCGCATCCCCTCCAAACAGGAAAGCTTAGGGACTGAGAAGCACAGCAACCTGAGTCCTGTGCGCTGATCCCCGGCCTGGCGGCCTTCCTCCTGACTGCACCCCGGCTTCAGGCAGAGTGCCCCCCCACACACACCCCGCAGTCACTGGGACTGCGGTCAGTGGCCTGAACCGCGGCCGGGTCTGTAGACCGGTGGCTTCCCCCTGGGCCCAGGGCCCCGCCCTGCACCCTTGCCTTACCCGTGAGCCCCACGGCCGGCCGTCACTCCCCTGGCCTGGCGACTGCCTTCCGGAGAGCGGGACCTTCGGCCCGCATACAGTGAAACCAAAAACTACGTAGGAGGGGAGACCAGACGGGCATGAAGGAGAACTTCGTGTTCCTCAGTTTCACGGGTTTTTGTTAATGTTTTATAAGTAATTTTCCCTACCTGATTTTTCTTTTATAAAATCTAATAGAACAGTGTTTATGATACACCATTTAATATATGTACAAATTGTAAAGAATATGTATAAATGTTTACACAAATGTAAGAGCATGTAGAAGCCAACATATAAACAAATTGTTTAAAAAAACTGTACAGTAAATTCTCAAAACACTTTTTCAAAACACTCCTTGGTGTTCTTGTGTGGTTTTTTTAAAAACTCGTTGCTGTGTGCTGCCCTCTGCTGGAAACAGTGCCCCTGGTGCGGTAGGTGCAGGCTGGGAGGGGCGGGGAGTGTCGCTGGCGTGCACGGGCCTTGGGCCTTTGGGCCACTTCCTCGGGCGGCCTCAGGGGGCCCGCTGGGGCCAGTCCGGTAACGTAACGGCTTCTGTTCCCTCTCTGCTGCAGCGGCGCAGTGGCTGCTCCCCGAGAGGAGAGGAGAGGAGAGGAGTTCCCTGCAGGGGTGGCAGGGCTTTCCCCCTGCACCCTACAGTCCTGTGCTGTGTTCGCCCGTGAGCCTGCCGGAGGCTCCAAACCACCTCCCTCCCTGCCTGCCTGCCTGCCTGCCTGCCACTCCGCTTTGGGCACACGGGACCTGTGAGTCCGCAGGCCCCACAGGGGAGCCGCTTGCACGGCAGCCTGCCCTTGGGGCGGGGCCTCGCCTCGTCCAGGACCCCACGCCGGGTGTCTGCATGCCCTGCATCTCGGTCAGCTCAACACAGGCCATTCACCCCCACACAGCAGCCACCTCCTACCTGCTGCCATCACGTAGGATGAGGAAGGGGCCAGGGGTGGAAGAGGGACTCTGGACCGCCCTGTGCCCCCCCCACCCCGAGAACAGCGAAGCTGACCATGAGCCAGGGAAAAAGGACGGTGAGGGGGGGGTGTTGAGAGTGGAATGTTACCCAGTGGATGCTCTTGCTCAGCAGACGCCCCGCCAGGGGGCAGGATGCTAACAGCCTGGTGTGCACCTCGTGCTCCCCGGGTCCAGAAACACCGCCCGGTCCTCGCAGGCTGATCTTTTCATTGTTTATGTCAGCCCTTAGATATCGCAGAAGGGGTGTGTGCATGGGATCGCTACAATTTTTACAGGTGTTGACAACGTAGAAGTGGCGGGTATTGGAAAGGAGCTGGGGAAGAGGGCCGGCGGGAGGCGCTCTGGCCCGGAAAGCGGGACGGGGCTGTCCGAGATCAGTGTCTGCGTGTGCATAGGGCGTGTGATCGTGAGGGACGTTCATCGGGAAACTGTGTTTTCTGAGAGTTTTGTAGCAAAAGGAGCTCGCTGTAATGTCAAACCCTTATTTTGCCATGAGAACAGTGGCATTTCCCAAACCATCTGCTCCCAGATGTCCGTGAGCTCTGACCGCGACTGGGCACCGGGTCTGCCCACACTCGCAGGCCAAGGTTCCTACAGTCACCCCGTGTCACAGGCGTCACCGACGCTTGGAGGCCGTCCTTTCGGCGGAGGACCCCTGGTCATGCACGCAGGTCTGCATTGCCTGTGGGAGCCCTGGGCTCCGGTTGCCAGGCTGGGGCCGACAGCTGTCACCACGAACCAGTCACATAAGCTGTTCATTTCTGGTCCTTGTGTCCCTAAACCTCCCATGGCTTCCTCACAGGAACGCAGGGGAAAATGCCCAGCTGGCCTTCCTGGGGACTCCTGCAGGGGGCGCCAAACTGACTGTCTTGTCTCCTTTCTCTCCTCTCCTGTGCTTTGCCCTTCAAACCCTGCCCACCGTGGTCTCCCTGAATGCTGATTCCTGGGCTCAGAGAGAACCTCTATCCGGTTTCTCCTCCTGTCCTGAGCCTGGAATCTGCATTCAAGGGGTAATCTGGGGCCTCCATGGGGCTCACCTCATTTCTCCTCTCAGTGACCCTGCCCTGCCTGCGTCTCATGTCTGAAACCTGGTCCGTAGATTCTGGCTTTTTCGTGAAGGAGGGTAAGCCGGCCTCTATGACTCCTGTCATGGCTGGAAGCGGAAAGCCTATGACTTACGTTTTAATTCTAAGGTGGGGGTAGTTTTCCCACTCACAGAGAATGTCGGAGCTGGGGCTCGGAGCAGCCGGTGCAGACCGGTTGGCGTGGGCGCCTGTGGGCCCCGGGACCTGCGGCAGCCATCACCGCTGCTTAGGCAAGACCACGCTCCAAACACAAGTGCGCCGGCTGCCAGTCGGGCCTCTAGCCTCACAGCTGGAAAAACAACCCAAAGCACACCTGTCAGGTGGGCGGGGGCGGGGCGGGGGGGGGGCTGCAGAGCCTTGCCCGTGCCAGGAACCACCAGGGTTTGCTCCTCCAGTTCGATGCCACCTTCAGGGAGGGCCGACCAGAGGCAGGGCCGCTGTTCAGACCGGGGTCTGGCTGTTGGGTCACTGTCCACGGAAGGGGTTTGATGACAAAGCACGTGCCCCGGCACAAGAGCTGGAGGAGACGGGGTGGGGGGCAGCCATGGCTGCCCAGCCCCTCTCCCCGAATTCCCTGCACAGAAAAGAGCAGGCCGCCTCTCCGGGAATGGGGCGGGGGGTGCAGGGGCTGTTACCTTTCCACCCTTGACCCTCCTCCAGAAACACCCCTTTTCCGAGTGGGTTGCCGAACCCATGGAGAAAATGCCACGCAGCAGGGGCCTCCCGTCACCCTGTGGAGAGCGGAGAAACAGTGACAGGGGAGTAGGTGTTGGTCTAACATCCACAGGACCTTTCTGGAAATTAGATGGGTGCTGTGGCTCACTAACAAGGGGGGGCTGGATACTGCCCCTGTCTTGTGAGTACATGAGAAAGGAGAAGCTTCCTTTAGGTTTTATTTTTCTTTTCTTTTTTTTTAAAAGATTTTGTTTATTTATTTTTAGAGAGGGAAGGGAGAGAGAGAGAGAGAGAAACATCAATGTGCGGTTGCTGGGGGCCATGGCCTGCAACCTAGGAATGTGCCCTGACTGGGAATCGAACCTGCGATGCCTGGTTCGCAGCCCGCGCTCAATCCACTGAGCTACACCAGCCTGGGCAGGTTTTATTTTTCTTATGTTTGAACATTCTCAAAATATAATTGTATAGAAATTAAAAATAAAATATAAATTTATATTTTAAATGATAAATGTATAATGAAATATAAATATGAACTAAACTACGCTTCTAATTTTGTTTGAAAATTATCAAAGTAGAAAATTTTTAAAAATTGCTCTTGAATTTTTCATCACACACAATTCATTTTGAAAAGTAAAGTGAAATTGCAGATTACTACAATGGTGATTCCCTTTTGAACGTAACTTAGTTAAATCTTCCAGTAACATATTATAGCCAGTGGATGGAGGGGTATTTTGAAATGTTTTCACGAAGTAACAGAAAACTATAAAAGTCTTCAATAAACAAGTCTCCAGGGAGGCTACCTTAGCTGGGGTAGCAACTCAGCAATGCCATCAAAGACCCAGGCAAACGCTTTTTGTTCTGTTATTCTTAGCACGTCAGCCTGTTGTCTCATGATCACAAAATGGTTGCATCAGCTCCAGGCATCACACCAATACCTAAGGTAGGAAAAAAATAGAGGAATCCACACCAGCTGTTTCTGTCCCTTTTATAAGAAAAAGGCAAACGCTTCTCCAGAAGTCCCTAATAAATTTCTGCTTAAGACTCAGGGGCCAAAACTGTGTCCCATAGTCCCCATTGGCTACAATGTGTCACATAGTCCCCACTGGCTACCGTGGAGACTTGTGCAGTCTCCTCACTTGGAGCTGGACAGATGAGAAAGGGCTGGGTGACTGGCCAGCGGTGTCTGCCGCATCTGGCATAGCCAGCATCTGACACTCATTCTCATTTAACGTAGGGCTTGATGCTGCCTTAGAGACAACTGTACGTTATTTTCATTTTTTCCATATTTCATGTATTTCCTCCCGAGGCAGACACGGGGAAGTGGAAAGGCAGGAATGATTTCTGACCTGCCCCTGGGAGCCCTGAAGCCCCGGCAGGACTGGCTGTGGGACCCCCAGCCTCCAAACTTCTCCCCCGGTGTTTTTTCCTATTGGCTGCACTGCCTCTCTGGTTCCATGTTTTATCTGTGTGAGAGGAGGTGTTTTTCCCCATGTTCCCGACACACCCGGGCAGCCAGAGTGGTTCTCCTCGTGCGTGGACGCAGGCACAGGTCACTGGCACCTTCTGCCCAGCTCGGAAACTGGAGCCCCCCGTTTCCCTGCAGCCACGACCACACTCCCGCAGGGGGCGTGGAAGACAGAAGTGGGGCGAGAGGTGTATTTTCCCCACTGGCCATGGCGGGGAAAGCAGTGCATCCTCCCAGCTCTCAAGCCGTCTGTCTTAACCTCAGCACTGGACGTAAGTCCATGTAAGACGTCATGAAAATAACAAAAATGACCTGCCGGAGTTCGGGGAGCGCTACCCAGGTCGCCTGGCTCCCACCGTCCGCCGGAGGAGAGCTCACTGATACCGCTTCCCGCAGAGCTCGTGAACAGAGGTTCCCAGTTTGGCCCTCGGCGAGGGCGAGGCGTTGTGCTCTAAAACACCCCGTGGTTTGTGTTTTCGGGGTGTTGTGAGTTGAAGGGTGCCACACGTGAAAGACCTGGGAGGGCTCCAGGCCGGCCCCCACGGGTACTCGGGGTCTCCGGGCACAGGGCTGTGCTCGGGCTTGAACTCCTTCCTGCCCTCAGGCCCGGCAGCCCGCCGGCACCCGCACGTGTGTGTTTGACAACGATACTGACCAGCCGGCCAGGCCTCTTCCTCCCCCTGCGCCCGGAAGGCTTGCTCGGATTTAGTTACCCGAGCTTTCTCTGCCTCTCGGTGCCAAGACTGTTCAGGAAGTTGTGAGGATATACATTAGACACCACTTTCTCCACCTTCTCTTTTCCTTCTGCTGTAACTTTCCCCACTCTTTCCAAAGCCCTTCGTACAAAAATGTGAAACTCTGCATCGGGTCACCCAGGGCGACTCCCTCCTCGGGCCCAAGGCCGAGGGGGGCCCTGTGGTCCGAGTCACTTCCCAGGGCCGTTCCGAGCAGAAGGTGCTCGCGGCTTCTCCCCGACGGAAGCGCTGGGGCTTGTGCAGACAGCATCCTGGGTCGTCGGCTGGAGCCTTGGAGCACTAACGGGGAACTGACTTCCTGTCCGCAGGTGAGAGTACTCATCCCTCCGTCTTTAGGACATCCCTCCAGTTCAGCGCCAGAGAAGGAAGGAGGAAAACCAGCCACAGGAG